CCTTCTTTTTTTTAAAATCCTTTTTCATAGCTCATTGCGATTGATGATTGATATGACAATTTCTTTCAAACGGATTTTCATTTTCTAAAGTACATACTATTTACAGCAGAGGCTCGAATTATGTCATACAACTAAAATTAATTCTACTTCGTATGAAACGAGAAATAAATGAACAAAAATGAAAGGAAAATTGAAACCAATCTAATACCAATATTAGACTGGATGGGGTTTACAGAATAGAGAATAATGGGCAAAGAGTGCAGAATAAAGGGGGAAAATAACGAAGAGAGAAACATAGACGCAAAAAATACAGAATAGAGAATGATGGTGGGGTAAAATTTAAAGAAAAGAGAATAATAGGCAAAATAAATAAAGAATAGGACATAATCGTTTAAAAAATAAAAAAATAAAGAAATGAAGGAAACCCCCATCCAGTCCCTAATACAGTCTATATATCCCTGAACTTGATGACATAGTTTACTTATGACGTACGTGCATTTCACTTAACCAACTAAATAAGAAATGTTTCAAATAAAGCAGCAGATTTCCTTATACAAACACAAATTATTCATTATGTTTCGTACATGATAAAAGAGTTAAGTCAAAAGTTCAATGTTTCATAAATTAAGTCATTTCGATTGAATAGTAATGAGTTTATCGTCTTTACATATCTTTCAAGTTAATGCATCTAATCGAAAATTTATGTTTTTACATTTGATCCGTAGACTTATTAAATAAACCATAAACATTAATATTTGTAAGATATTCGTGTTAACAAAACGTAGTGAACATACACAATTAAGTCTCAAATCGAGCTAATAAAATGATCATTGTAATGTATGATATCTTACACATTGTTAAAGAAATACGCCAATCGTGTTTCACGTATGATTTGAAATGTCTGTATGTCTACAATTACACTTCAGGTAATTGAACGAATGGGTTACAGTGAATAATCAAGACATATTGTCCAAGAACTAGTTCTATTTTTCATGCGTTTTTAAGGAGTACTGTTTTGAAGATGTGTGCAAAACGTTCTGATTACCTATAGGTTAGTCTTGGCTTATGCCAAACAATAACTTGAATAACACGAATTTATATCGTTATGTTCCATTGAAGGCAGAGAGCCTTTGTTAGGGTGACAATTTAACAGCATAGAATGAGAATTGTCTCTTCTTGATGTTGTCTTGAGTCATAGATTTGAAATAGCGACAACAACTGTATTTACGTTCTTGTCGGCAAATTTTATACATTAATCGAAATTTATCACTACAAAACGTTTATTATTGTGCGTGTCTATTAATAAAACAAACCTATTTTATTTTTAGAAATTTACTTGTGATGATATAAACGTCACATAAAATACGTCACTTTTTGTGACGTTTATCCATTCATGTGACGCGCAGTTTATAATTCGTTTGTGGTGTCCTGTTGTGCTGTCGTAAATTCATGGGAAGTGTCCGTTGTTATTCTGCGGTTTACATATTGTAATGTACTATTATATTATTTATTTATGTATTTCTCTGCTGAGTGTTCTTGCGCGTGTTTGTACAGTATTCCTGTCACGTAGTGTTGTCATTTTAGCAATATTTTTTTTACATTGCCATATTAGCGGGAGGTTTGGCTAGCATTTAAACCAGGTTCATGCCCTCATTTTCCATTAAAATGTCCTGTACCAAGTCAGGAATATGGCTGTTGTTATCAGACAGTCCGTTCGTATGTTTATTGGCGTTTGCTTTTGTTGTAGTTCAGTGTTTCTTTTGTTCCGTTTTTACTCTTATAGTTGATGTTTTTCCCTCGGTTTTAGGTTGTTACCCGGATTTGGTTTTGCTTAATCGAATTATTACTATTGAACAGTGGTATACTACTGTTGCCTTTATTTATTCCAATCATAGTACTATTTATGTATATTGTCTGTCAATCTGAACAAGGACCTCTGTTCAAATCTCATAAACAAATTTAGAAGATCTAAATCAAGGTAAAAAACAAAAACGGAGGGACCTCCAAAAAGCGCAAGACTGAAAGCGTCAATACGGTAAGCTTTTCCTCCTATGCATTCATCCCACGCCATGCAAAGTCAAACTCTGTCAAAATATGACAAACGGGAATAAAACACCATCTTTAAATTAACAAATCAGACAACTATATTTGTACCTAAAGATCTTAGAGTGCGAAAATATGTCGCTACTGATTTCTTACACAGACACATCGTATTGGTCAACCAATTTGTGTTGTGACCGTAAAACATATGTAGATAAACTCATCATAAATACCAGGATTATAGTTTAGTACGCCAGATGCGCGTTTCGTCTTCATAAGACTCATCAGTGACGCTCGAACACAAAAAGATAACCACATATCTTTTAAAAGGATAAACACTTTAGGATCTTGGGTTTTATTCAAGTGTGGTTCGACAATATCTAATGCGGTATTGTAACAAATTGTGAAACCTCGCGAACAGGTTAGGCCTACAAAGCTCAGATACATGACCCCAAAATAATTAGGTGGTGCAGGATAAATGTTAATTATACGAATGTTTACAATTTCACAGAAAAAGAAATTAAAAAAGAAGCAAAGATACCAAAGGGACATTCGAACTCATAAGTCGAAAACAAACTGATAATGCCACGGAAAACAAAAGACAAACAATAAAAAAAAACAAATAACAGTATACAAAACTCAAGATAAAAACTAATGACTGAGCAACACGAACTCAATCAAAATACGGGAGTGAATTCAGGTGCTCCGGAAGGGTAAGCAGATCCTGCTCCACATTTCGCACCCGTCGTGTCGCTCAAGTAAGTACACACCCGGTGGTAAGTTTAATCCGGTAGGTAACATTCGATGAATAGAAAACGGGATTGCGGTTACGATAATTGGAAAATATTCGTCGCCAACTGTGAAACAGATATTCCATAACGGTCAATCAACTCGTGAAGGCGTTCGTAAAATTTCGTTGGAATTATTTCAACTTCACCACTTTGAAATATAGCTTCCGTGTGCAGGAGACGCAATCTCTGGAATATGGTATATACTCCATATGCAGACGTTGCAGGAATATTGCTACATAAAAATGGAAAGTTCACATTTGGGAAGCTGAAATCGTCTCTTTTGTCGTAAAGTTTTAGTCTTCTTTTGTCGTAAAGTTTTGTTCTTAACTGTAGTGTATTAAAGTGGATAGATATTTATAAAGATAAACGTGAAAGATGCAGCTGTTTTTTTCTCTTTTTAAAAAAAAAAGTACAAATCATTTTATGCAAGACCTATTTTTACGGATTGTAGCACACAAGTACTGCTGAGTAATAATGTTTTAAAAAATTCATTTACATACAATGTTGCACTTTACTCACAGGCATTATACAATATTAAAGGAGAAATGAAAACTAATTGTTAAACACATGTTACTTAATTATCTTATGGTGTGCATTACCCCGTAGAAGATATTTAAAACCCATTTCAACACAATACAAGGAATTATGAAAAATCAAAAAGATTGTAAGTATGTTTTTTTTTACTTTAACACCCACAATGCAATGTTAATACAAATAATGCATTTATTATTGGTTCAATGCATATTTGTGTTAATAAATAGTTTTAGTTAAAATTGTATTATGCCCATGTGATGTGTACTTTAACGTTTATATCTGATGGTCAATTCAGCTGTTAAGATAACTATATATACACATATGCAAGTGTCTGTTCTAAGTCAGGTACCCCGGATGGTTGTTAAATGTCAAATCCTAATGTCATGTTTTATTTTCTTATGTGCGATTATTTTACAAATTTGGTGTTGATGGCAATCCATAAAATGACAGTTCTGATAAAAAAATTAAATGTAAATTTATGATCGCCTTTAGAAGTTGTAAGCTCATTAGAGTGCATGAGTTGATAGGAAACATATAGCGCTATCCTATGTGTAGATTATGCGTATGTTTTTATATATAATCATAGTTAACACTTTGTCTTTCTCTAAACAGAATAAAAATATGAAATATAAAGCGCTTTTGTTGCGTCAATCAATAGTCATTGTGTCTGTATAACTGCACCACTATGTCAAGACGGATAGGCAATATGGCTATAAACGTAACAATGTGTTTGCCCATGATCTGGGATTTCGTATTTGGATTTAGTATTTGTATCTGAACAAATCATGTACAGTCATTATTTCCTTTGCCTAATATATTTATAAAAGTGAGATCTTTAAACTTTGAAGTTGATGCTGTGTTAGATATAGATGTTATTTTCTAATAATGGTTAAATGAAATGTAGTTTCTGAATGCCTTGTTTGTCATCATAGTACTCTTTTGGAGCAATTGAGATCACTCCCGGGTTTTGGTGGGGTTCATCTTGGTTTCTATGTTGAGCTATGCATACTGTTGTTGTCTTTTGATAATTTTTATTTTTTTATCAAGGCATTATAAAAATGAGGAGATGTGGTATGATTGCAAATGAGACAACTATCCACCAAATTGTCAGTTTGTGTTCGACTAACGAGTGTCAATGTTCCTTTGATATCTTTCGCTCTCTTTTAAAAAAAGATAGCATTTTTAGATATGCAGGATCCATGTTATAAACGTTAACACAACTGTTAACATACAAAACACCAACAAGTTCTGTACATGATCTGTCTGGTTATACTATTGTCCTTTTGTAATGTTCTAGGTTCGAGAGAAGGTCAATACACTTTTTAATAACAAGAAGCATGAAGATCTAGAAATGAAAATCTGCCGACAAATTAATATTTACCTATTCTCTAAAATAACATATGTTATTTGAATTTGAATGAAAAACATATTCATTATTATACATCAAGGATTATATTGACATTTATCTTAGGGTGTTACATTCGACAAATAGTTGGACGTTACTTTTTGGTACTGGCTGTTTTTCAGTAATTTACAAATTTGACACTCACTAGTAATTTTTTTTAAAATCATCTTCTTACAGTACTAAATGAGTACCTTAAACGGATCAACATCATGAAATTGAGTATATTAATGGAGAGACCTTTTTATATACTTTTCAAATGTAAAATAATACTTTTGATTATAAATTCTTATCAATGGACAACTGTTTCATCAACGTTGAAAATTCCTTCCGTTGTGCCTGTTGTTAGTGAAGGTAAGTGGTTAATTACTTAGTTTATTTGACAACTACTTTTACACTGGATAACAATGACATTTAAGTACCCTATCAAAATACTAGAAATTTCAAATATGCAATTCAATAGTATGCCCCAACTCATTTAAATTTAAATGTTTTTGTTCTTCTATAGGTCCACGAAAGAAGCGTTTGTTTGTACTTGTGTATCTGTGTTCTCTTCTTTTTGTTATAAGTACTGACTTTTCATGCAAAACATGCAATCTTGATTTTTAGCAATAACGTTTTAAAATTTCTTTACATACAAGTTTGCACTTTATGCATATGTGTTATATGATATTAATTGAGACTTCCTGTAAAACAGTTGTCACTTAATTAATCTTATAAGATTCTTCAAGCAATCCTATGTTACAAGGAAATTGGAATTTGAAAAGATGTTCAGGTTGATTGTGACTTTTTGACCGGATTTCGATCCGCATGGCGGGTGTTTCATGCGTTTCAGGAAACGCTCACCCTGTCGACTCAACTGGTCTCACTCCTTTTGTAGTTCACTCTATTCCCTCAGTATTAGCTTGTTACCTTGATTTAATATTACTTTTTGAATCGATTTAAAAGATTTGAACATAGGTAATTTACCTCTGCCTAAATTATGTACATTTATGCAAATGCTGAAAAGTCTGAGATGTTTGAAAATTTGAAATAGTCTTGTCAAAGGTATCAGCACAGTACAAAACCACCTACTAATTGGCTTGTTTCCTGTCGACTGACCTGGTTTCACTCCTTTTAGAGACCATGTGATTCCTTCTGTGTTTGTGTGTTGTCATTATTTATCTATTCTTTATCGATTAATGAGGTAAGCTACTGTCACCTTAATTGTTCAATTCAGCCATTATAGAATGTTTCTATAAAGGCAACAGTAGTATACCGGTGTATACATTTTATTAAAAAAAGTCGGTAATATTTTGTTAACTTGATTTTTGAACCAATTTATCTTTTTGTCCCTTTGAACAATTCTTGCACATTTTTATGTTTCAAATATCTGAAAAGTATTCCTGAAATCATGCAATTCTTTATTTGTGGGTGCCTTGAACCAAATATACTCTGACAGGAATTTTTCGACAAGGTCGAAACAGTATTTATTTATTTATGTATTAATTTCCTCATAAGTATTTATGTATGAAATGTAATACAAACAATGTAATTTTTATCCCAAATAGAAATATTGCAACAGTTGTGTCATAAGAATTACGTAATGTGATAAAAAAATGAACTACGCAAAATAATAAAATGAACTTTTGATAAATCATGTCATGGACTTTCTTTAGTCATACAAGATGTGAAACTATTGTTATGACATGCACAGCGAGCAGCTGAGATCACCCACACTTTTTGGTGGGGTTCGTGCTGCTCAGTCTTTGGTTTTTTTATGTTGATTTGTGTACTGTTGTTTGTCGGTTTGTATTTTTCTATTTAGCTATGGCGTTGTCAGTTTATTTTCGACTTATGAGTTTGAATGTCCCTTTGGTATCCTTCGCCTATCTAGCTCTTTTGCTCTATAATATTTGTGTTCGTTATTGGAAGATTGTATGCTACCAAAGTATCGAGTTTTTGTGTGGTTCGTGTTTCATGGGATTACGTTTTTTATAAATTGTTTGTTGACCTTGTTTACCTTTTCATCGCCTATTGATTATTTTTGCCATAACGTTGTCAGTTTTGCTTTGACTTATGAGTTTTTAATGTTCTCTGGATATTAGAGCTTCAGCTAAATTAAACATATTTTAAAAGTAATTGGTGTCAATATTTAATTGTTTTGGCTTACAAATTGCAGAATTGAAACTAGTATATATGATAAATGACGATTTCAACTTTGCAATCACAAACTACCATTTTTTAAATTGTAAAGTTACTCTTGCAGCATACAAGGTATGCAGTTTTTTCAGGCTAGTACTCAAAATATATTCTGACGAAGCTGACTTTTATGTGCGTTATCTTGCCTTAACACAACAGAAACTTTACAGAGTTATAGATAAACAGACTTTCGAATACAAAACCACAATCCTCATCAACAGCTTATTTTATAATTAAAATTAATTTAGAAAAAAAAGGGTATTTTATATCGTGAAAAGGCCTAAACATAGAAATATAATATTTAAAACTAGTTCTGACATCCAAACTGCAAGTGCTACAAGTGTGATATCCTAATTTATTCCGTTTAGATGGTTCATTATTTCGATGGTTTCAGAGTATTGAAAACTAACAGGCCTCTCACAAACACTGTCAATTTAAGGACATTTCATGAAACCTGTTGAGCGACAGTTTCAAATAATAGCTGTCTCAACAAAACAAACAAATGACGTGGTAGGATTGCCAATGATACCTCTCTCAATAAAATTCCGAATGAATTGGATGTTAGCAACTATAGATTACCGTACGGCCGCTTAACACTGAGCAGAACGAAGACTGTATATTCACCTATAAAAAGCCAGTAAAATACTAGAATTGGCAGTACAAGACTGTATTGATTTATACGCGACCATTCTGAACTAGTCTAATTTTTCTCAATATACTTGACGATATTCGACTGTCTTGTATTCGACCCTTGTGTAGACCACACGTAGTTATTTTATCTATATTTCACCTGTACCAAACCTTTACTAAACCATATCTCAATATAATTTCAACAGTCTGAACCATACTGGACCCATTCTTATTCATACTCAACTAGTTTATTACTGGTTGAATAACCGCGAACTTGTAACTTACTCTAATCTATTCATCGCTCCATCAATATAGTTTGTTTGATATATGTCTTATCTTAAGTTAGCAATAACAAGCAAGTATATCTATGGATCAAATTGATTATAATGTTCATGATGTTTCTACATATTCAAATATTCGGCTTTGAGCGTTCCTGATGAAGGTAAATCCAGAAAAGCCCTTCTGACGCATGAAATTTATAACGTGTTGTTTTCATTTTTTACAGCACTGGGTCGATACCTCTGTTGGTGGACTATCAGTCCCCGAGGGTATCATCAGCATAGTAGTCAGTACTTCGGTACTGACATGATTTATAACAAAACTTTCTAAAATTGTCCGTTAATAAATTTTGAAATTATGAAGATTTGGCTTTTTTTAGGTCCTTTTTGGTCATACAGCTCTTCAACTGTTTCGATTCTTATATATCCTTGACTTTCAAATATTCGTTCCTGGTTAAGGTAAATCCAGAAAAGCGACGCATGAAATTTATAACGTGTTGATTTCATTTTTTATGCAAAAGCGATTAATTTCAACTGCATGTATTACTGTTTCTTCCTAACCAATGTTAAAACAAAGATTAAGCTTTGCAGCACAAATATGAAGCATCAATATCCACATTTGACAGTTAACTACACAGTCAGCTAGATGAACAACTTACGCCCAACAGATGGCATTATTTAACTCACCCAGCAATGACGTTGTGTAGGTTTTAAATGATTGAAAAGATTATAAAATATGATACTGTGGATTCATTATCATTCGTGGAATACCAATTTTCGTGGATTTCATGGGTAAAGGTAAAGCACGAATTTCAATGTTTGACAAAGTACACATTTCTATAAGCTAATATGCAGACTTTAACAAAACCACGAAATCAAATATCCACGAAAATACAATTTTTCCTCAATCCACAATAATTGGTACCTACGAAAATGAATGAATCTACAGTATTGTATTGGACACATTTGTGATTGACTGACTAAGGTTTAAAAACAGCAATCATATCCTGTATAACGTAAGCATGAATTTCAACATTTATATTGTAATTTGCATAAAGTTAATAATTGTCTGATAAAATTTGATACTAATTAATTTGAAGAGCTATTGTTTTAAAAAAAATATCACCCCTGCATAATTTATATACATGTTTATCATAATCCTTTAGCTTCCTCTAAGTATCAGTTTATGGTCGATTATGGTTCATATTTGGTTTACTCAAGGTGGAATAAAATCAAGTATGAAATCAATTACAATTTTGACCAATTCAGAATGGTCAAATATAAACCAGTACTGTAACAGTCAAGCGAAAATAGTGGCAATTTCAGACTTTAACTTGTTTAAAAGCGCGTGATTACCTCAGCTGGCATCCTGCAATAGCGATCCCAAATGTTATCTTGCATTCAAAATTATGTGCCGTCTTTTATTTTCCTGTTTGATTAAGTAAACATCCTTTTGGTAACTATTCTGAGCAGGCTTTTATTGTGTGTTTATTTGAATAGTTCAAGGGAAAGGTTTATGTGCATAAATAATGGTCTAACATGACCACAGTGTCTGTGTGCATTAACCAGGGTATCTGGACCATGTGTTGATTGTCATCGTTATTCTATAAACGTCTCTTATAAACGTTTCTTGGATGCGTCGGGTGTTTGTGATTAGTGATTTGCGTCTTACATGTTTTTTTAGAATTTTTGTTCTCCTTTTGATATAATGGTTCTAATAAATAGAAAAGAACTTAATTGCAGATATACACGTCCATGACACAGCAATTCGATGGCTCTTATATTCAAAGACAAGTAGAGGTGTATCATTTTTGCCATGAAGATTCAAATGAAACAAATGTAATATCATTTACAGCATTAAAAATAAAATCGGTTCAATATTTTGGATTGAGTAACAGTGAATTTAGGTATATAACTGTTAATCTGTATATTTAAGAAAATATGAATTGATAACAGAGAATGTATCATCTCATTATCTGCAGGCATTGTAAAAAAATATACCTTCAAGTGTTATTTCAATTGGGTCTTTAACAATACATTGTGTATCATATAAAATAAAATGATTATTTATTCATTTTTATACTGCAATTGGGTGTCTTATCAAACATTAACAGCCCAAGAGATATCGCTAGCCTGTATTTGTATACTATACAGATATCGCTTTAAAGCTCCGCCCACTGCCGTACAACTTTTGGGTATTGCTGTTGACGAGTGTTGTATGAACTTTCTTGACCTCAGGATGTGTATATTGCAGTCGCATTCCAATGACGTATTGCTTGACCTTATGTGAACAATAGATTAATTTACGTTCTGTTTGTTTTCAACCATTATTTAGAGAAATATGAAATAGAAATGAAAATATTTTGTCTTCCATTCTTTTAATTTTATATTCTATATGTCATAAATGCATTTCATGTGTAACACACAAAATCAAACCATGCAACAATGTCAAAATTCAGTGAATGTCACGGTCAGTTCGAAATTCTGAATCGTAGGACAAATCATACACTTTTGTCTTAAATCGGACAATGTTTTGTTATTTCTTTTTACTGTTGAAATTAGTTGTTATGTTATAATAAATATTTATTAACTTTGAACGATGTATTATTGGTGACTATGCGAGATTCTTTTCGGCGTACCGGTCATCAGCTGATTGTGTGATTTTTTTTAATATTACTACGCAGGCCTCAAAGGTAAAATAAACAAAAACTAATAAATCGAAAATCGAAAATAAATGCAATAAATGTGAGTTTTTTTGTCTTTCAAATCAAAAACAATGTACAAAATTAATTGCAGGATAAAGACAATAAGTGTTTAGTGTCTTTAAATATCAGCTGTATTTGTACTCGGCTCGAAAGAAACAGGAGTAATAGCTCGCTGAAGCTCGCATTACACCTGTTTCATAGCCTCGTACAAATACAGCTGATATCTAAAGACACTAAACAGTTATTGTCTATATAAATCCTCACGGGAAAATTACATACTACAGTTTATATTATCACCAAAGCGAACATTAATATTATCAACCGAATCAAAAAATGTTTGTAATTGTTTCTTTTCTTGTCAATTGTTGCATTATTTATAAGTTTTATAAGTGCAGTGTATTGGAAAGGGATCACAAATATTTTTTTATGTATATGAATATAACTTCATCGCACCTGTTCTACCAATACGTTTTCAATTATTTTCTCCTCTGTCCGTCCATGATCCCGTTCTCTTTTCCTTGCCCGATGACACCGAATGATATGATTTTCCTAAAATTTGCAACACAACTAATACCACGAGTGCAACAGGACTTTAGAACCAACAGTGGCATCAGATTTAAACCCCAATATTTGGTAGGGTTCGTGGTACTCAATCGACTTTGTTGTGTTTTTGGGCATAATAGTTTTCTGTTTGTGTTTGAACTTTGTTGTGGTCGTGGCGACGTATGTCTTTTTTAAATTCTAATGTTTATAGCCCCCTTGCTATCTGTTTTAATTTTGTAACACGTGGACTAATGTTTAAACTGATTCCGGTATATTACCTTGATATTACCTAATATCATGTTTTACCACATTCATTTTTCAGAGTTTGTCAAACTTACAATAACCACATATACCTCTATAGGAGCTCGATACAAACGCTCAAACCCTCGTAATAGTACAATAGGACAAGGGAATCAATCAAAATTTTTAAATTCCGAACCACCAGTTAATTCAGTGGGCGCATCAAATCACACAGGATCTCCAAGTTCTGGACAGCCCATCAGTTCCAATGGACAAGGGACACCCACAGGGCTTAATACGAAAGGAGCAACGACAAATCAACCTAGTTCAGGATCACCTGTAGTTCCAGCTAGTTCCACAGTTCCACGAAATCCTATAGGTTCATATCTCCTTCCTAATGAACTCCGTGTTAGTTTTATTCTTGGCAATGATACAGTTCATCTAGATTTGATAAAAAATAAACAATTTGGCAAAAATATAGTTCCTGTGTTCACCAAGTTCTCGGATGGCAGTATCGTTCAGCATGGGCTCTCAGCAGTTAAGGTACTAACATTATAAAGAGTTTAAGTACAAATGTCTCCAGATAAAGATATTAGATTGTTTCCCCTATACCATATAACGGTATGAACTGATGTATATTGATAGTGTTTACAAATAAACAGTGATAACTACAAAAAAGAAGCAAAACCTTTGTTGACATGATTCAAAGAATGAAATTTTATTAAAGTTATCACAAAAACAGCAATAAAAAACACGTTCACAATGTGATATTATGTTGTGTAAACAATATAAATATAAATTTATCGGTCGTCCCACTGTCTGTATCACTCTGCTCAGTTCTTAATAAAATTGCATATCAAGGCTTTGTGACGTCAAATACGTTGACTCGGCATTAATAACTTTGACCCGGACATATCACCGACGTCATAATGAATGAACCGAAGTTGATATGTTTGACCCGAACTTATCGAATCAGCTTCCGGTTTGCTGGTGAAACAAAGAAAACACTTGATTAAATCGATTATCTGGTTGTCTGCATATTGATATTGTAAAATATCAGTTGTTCGACACAATATGAAGTCACTCGACAAAAAGTTTTATATTGAGACTCGCAGCTGATATTTTACAATATCAATATGCAGACAACCTGATAATCGATACTTATAAATACCGTTTTTTTGGTTTTGTTTTTACTTTTTGTTTTTGCTGTTTTGTATGATAACTTTGGTGAATTTTCTTTCCTCGAATCACGTCAGCACATTATGTTGAGAAAAAGAGAGAAAGACATGAGAAAGTCAAAAGGGGAGGTTATCGAATATTGCATCCTCATTGTAATTTTTCAACTTTTATCGCGATAAATAATATGCCGTGTTTTCATTTCTTGAAAAACGTTTTCCTGACAATTTTCTCATTCATCAAAATGAACACTCGTGTATATATGATGACTGTTTATAACCACTTGGTCATTTACATTTGCGATGTTTTGTTCCCTATGGTATCACCAACCTAGTTGTCAGCACTGCTGTGTTGATATTAAATGTTTTGATAACGTTATTTTCTATAAATTCAATGTGTATAAAATGTTTGAATTCTAGTATTTGAAATACTTGCTGTTTTAACCCCCAGTCACAGATGACCTAAGTCGTATTTGGCACAACTTTTCAATATCTTATTTTGCAATGCTCTGATTGTTTTGGCCTTCAACCCGTTTTGATTGGAGTGTGAATGATGAGTTTTATGCAAACCAAATGGACGACACGCGTACCACATTGTAATCCTGAAGTTTTTATGAGTTTGTATAAGAAAATATAACGGCATATGTTATGACGTAAATCAAAGGAAGTTGTACTTTTACGAATATAAGAACAAAGTAAACTAATTTTCAGAACCTCAATAGCATACCAATCGAAAGTATTGCACTGACATAAGGCGGTTGCGCAATGCTTGGTGGTGTTGTCGTAGAAAAAAAAGAAAAACATACAGTTCTAGCCATGGGAATGGTTGGGAATGTAAAAAAAGCAGATCTACTCTAACATTTCTAAAGGGATCTTTTAGCACTAAACGTGTTTTGTATATACGTATTTATCAACATTTCAGTTGAGTCTAAGCAAAACCAAGACAATTTCGAGACTAAAAAACGAATAAATGAATTATGTTACTCGAGTTTATCTACTTACTATATACATCACTTAACAGACATTACTTAGTGTTACTAAAAGCTAAATATGCTTGGAAAATGAATTCAGTTGATATTATCAACTCGTTCATATTAAATATCAAAAAACAAAGAGAGGAGACACCAAAAATGACGGGAAAATGAACAACAACAACAAAACATTACACAGAACTCTAAAGATTGAGCAACTCAAACTATCACCAAAACCCAGAATTACACTCAGCTGCTTCGGCAGGTTAGTCAGTTCATCCTCTTCATGTGTTACACGTCCTAATGTTCATGTAATCAAAATTTCTGTGATAAGTCTCAACCGAGGAAAAGTGGAAATATTCGTGGTCATCTGTGACATAGATATACTATAACGGTCAACTAAATTATAATGGCGTCCGTCAAATTTACAAAAGGATAGCTAACACTTTACCTATTGGAACCATTTGAATAACATAACTTCAGCAACCCTTTATCAAGGAGTATTGTATCAAATTGTAATTATATAAGCCATTTGGCGACGCTGCAGGAATGTTGCTACATATCAATTACATAGACAGTTATAAGTTTTAAAATATCAGCTTTATCCATATAGAAACACGCTAGTAAACTAAAGCTTTTAAGACTTTTTTAAAGTTCTTTTAAAAAAATATCCAGACTGAAGATCTAGTAAATATATGATATTTCATAATACGTGTATATCCATACATATAAATGATTACTTCAATCTGTAGTTGAATAGAGAGGTAGAGGTACTCTTTATGTTAATGTCACAATCAATAAACTATATAGCTTACTCACGTATCTGGGGCTCTTTTCACAAAAAATCGTACGACTTAAATTTATCGTAAGTTATTCTGAAATGTACATGACTTACTGTATTTTCATTCGTAGCGTATATTTTACAATACAAATATGATATAATTTTCTTTTTCAGCATGTTGGTTCATATTATACAGACAAAGATCACACGCATAATGTACATCTTGAATGTATGTCCAATTCAAGCAGCACATGTACACACTATAGACTTGTATGTACTCCTTTACTGTGACCTCTATTAAAATCTATTAATTGATCCCTTATTGAAAAAATCAATATTTATCCATATCCATCTACAAAACTTTCATTAAATGATACATTACGTCTAAGCTATATTTGAACACCCCGTAATTATATCTACAGATGAAATTTAACAAATAGTTTTGTTATTAAATATATTCATTCATTTACTTTTTATTTGCACAGCATATGACTAAATATTTTAAATGTTTTCTTTAACAATAAAACAATTAGATAACATGAATACAATTGCAATAATTCGTTAATATCGTAGAACACATTAGAAAATATGTTATTCATATATGCATATTCATTTTTCTTCAGTTTGGATCATTTGAGCATAACTCTGACATGCACCTGATAGAACCAAAAGTTCAACCAATTGACCTTGGTGATGAATGCGAACATCTTCATCGTGTTGTAAAAACGGATCATATCGATGGGGTAAAACTCGACCACCTACCTTTGACTGGAGGTAAAATGTTCTAATATTAACTAATTAAGCAAAGCGTGAACGGTTATGTGTTTATAAAGGAAAATCTATTCAAGAAATTAAGTGTTGAAACTAGTTTATAAGTACCTAATTACGTTGTAGACCTGGTTTAAGGGCGATACCCTTTAAATAAGTAAAGCGTGTGTAATAATCAGTTCAATACCGTTTCATCGGTGTCTCTAATCATTCGTGTGATACAGAACTAGAATAATCTGTGTTACCTAGAAGCTTGAAATATATTGATGTGAAAGGTTGACACACACGCACTAGTGGTTTTAAGAGTAATGTTCCTTAACAAAGGTGCATCTCCTTTGTATCAACAAAAAAAAACAAATCTTCTTTGAAATTACGATATATAATTTGCCGTTTCAGAATCTAGTGCATTCTGGGTAATATTTTCAAAATTGTACACCAAAACTTTGTGATTGGTTTAAAACGTTCTAAAAAATGAATATTCAACCAATGACGTAACGGTGTTTTCATTTTGGTGAACGAACAATGATATTACCCATAGTCCTTTAGATTCTGAAAAGGCGAATTGTAGATAGGGGTCAAGTTGATTGTCCCCTTGATTGTCCCTATCTTACATAGCCATTCAGGTCATGCCCGATCTGGTAAAATTTGGTAGGAAATAACTGACGAAGTATTATGATTTCAAAAAGGATTAATGTTATAGCGATATGCATTTGTCTATTAAAAAATGTCAAGGTTTTGGTGATTTAAAAAAATATATTATATCTTTTATAAAATATAATGTAACTTCATCCAATTACGTTCCGTATTCAAAGTTTTCGTAACCGTTAATGTTTTTATACTGTTTTAAAATATATACAAATATTTTAAAATTATGATTAAAAGCATAGAACATTTTTTCAAAATATGCAAGAATCATGAATTGGAGACACGTTTAAGTCGATAAAATTTAATATCGTCAACTCAGACGGTGGTGTTTTTACAATGGACACCATTAATTATGTCAATTTTCATAAATTCTCGGGTGATAAATTCTGTTAAAACATTAATTGCAACTGTCACATGAAGAGTTGCTTCGAACGCTGCTTTCACTGCAGTAGTATTACATATATTTCATTCTTCAAAAGAACACAAAATGTATCCCTTAACTCCGTTTTCTTAATAGAAAAGAAAAATATGGGGTATTAATCCATGACAATAGGTCAGTATATGCACAACAAAAGACACAAAAAGCAAAGGAACAGCGCTTTTATTGCTTTTCGTCATCTCTTAGTTCGCTTTCTCAATATTGTACAGATCATGTTTTACTATTCTACGATGATATATCCTTCAAATATGAACTGATCTTATGTTTTCTTTACCAAGTTAAGAACAACATAGCACCAACGTCATTACCAGCAAATATGAATCACTCAGCTCCTACGAACATTGTGACAATACCGTCGAATAAGGACAACTCAACGGCTATAAACATTGCGTCAACACCAGCGCCTAAAAACCACTCAGCTCCTGCGACCATTATGTCAACACAAGCCAATAATAACCATTCAACTCCTACGAACATTACCAAAATAACGACAAACAATGAACATCACACTCCTATGGCAATTACATCTTTACCGACAAACAGGAAACATTCACCACACAATATTAAAATTGCACCAGCGAAGAAAAAACATAGAGGTTCTATGAAAATTAAATCTGTGCCGGCAGAAAAGAAAATTGCATCACCTAAGGAAAGGGCACCAATACAAGCAAAACACCCCATTCCTAAGAAAATTACATCCATACCAGCAAAGAATAAACGTCCAAAAAGTAAATCACTACCAGTGAAAAATAAAATCCCTACACCTAAGAAAATCACATCCATACCAGCAAAGACAAAACAAAGCACTCCAAAAACAATTACATCAGAAAAAAATAAGAAGAAACGTACAGCTCCAAAATTTAAATCAATACCAATGAAAAAGAAACACCGTACAGCTAAGAAAATCACATCAAAGCCAGCAAAGAAAAAACACAGCACTCCAAAGAAAACTACATCAGAAAAAGATAAGAAAAAAAGTCTAGCTCCAAAAATCAAATCAATACGAATGAAAAAGAAACTTCTGACACTTAAGAAAATCACATCGATATCAGAAAAGACAAACCATCGTACTCCAAAGAAAATTCCATCATTACAAACTAAGAAGAAACGTCCAGCCCCCCAAATTAAATCAATACGCGTGAAAAATAAAATCCCTACACCTAAGAAAATCACATCGATACCAGCAAAGAAACAACAAAGCGCTCATAAGAAAATTACATCAGAACAAGATGAGAAGAGACGTCCAGCTCCACAAAATAAATCAATACCAACGAAAAAGAAATATCCTACACCTAAGGAAATCACAGCAATACCAGCAAAGAACAAACACAGCACTTATACGAAAATTACACCAAAACAAGCTAAAAAGACAAATCCAGCCTTAAAGATTAAATCAGTACCTTTGAAAAAGAAAGACCCTATCCCTAAGGAAATCACATCATTACAAACAAAGAAAAAACACAGCACTCCTGACAACATTACATCAGGACTAGCTAAGACAAAACGCCCACCTGCAAACATTAAATCAATAACCGCGAAAAGGAAACACCGCACTACTATGAAAATCTCATCTTTATCAGAAAAAGAGACACATCCCACTCCCAAAAGACGTACATCTTTACCAGCAAAGAAAAAACGTCCAGTTTTAAAAAATGCATTAATAACAATGAAAAAGAAACAACCAACACCAAAGAAAATCACACCAATACCAGCAAAGAAAATAACATTAATACCAGCAAATGAAAAACACAACACTCCTAAGAAAATTACACCAGTAAAACCCAAGAAGAAAAGTCAAGCTTCGAAGGAAATTACATCAAAGAAGAGCGAAAATCCTTCACCTGATGACATTATACAAATACAAGTAAAGAAAAGCTCTACTTCTGACAACATTAAATCAATACCAGAGAGAAGACGTCCATCTAAGTTTCCATCAAAAACCACCAAAGGTCTACACAGAAACCGTACATTCAAGCCGAAAGCAGGTAACATATAGATAAAGTAAATATAAATAACGCATAGCTGAGAGGGTGATAGAGCAGATTGTTACCCTGAGAAAACATTGTCAACTGACGCGAAGCCAAGGTTGACAATGTCTTTTGAGGGGTAACAACCTGCTCTATCATCCACTCAGATATGTGTTATTTAATTCATTATTCTGAATGTTCTGTTATTACTGTCTATTAAATTTCAAATCCAAAGTAATAAAGTATGTCGTCTTGTACATAACAATCATCCGTATTTATTAAAGCGCACACTTGAGCAAGCGTCTCCGGGAAGGGTAATATAGTATTTGCTATGGAATAGAGTAAATTGTCTCCCTCGTATTAACCAATCAAAATCTGTCATTTTGACATGAAGTATAATAAATATAAATATGTATTATCAGTACTGCAACGTATTTTCAATCTACTGACTTACTGTTAAAAACAATAATGAAATTCTAGAATCAGCTAACTCTTAAATCATATTATCGAGGAACTGTCAACAAGTTAATGTTTGTTTTATTCTCTGCTGTAAAAAAGCTTTATATCTCATTTATTAATATTAAGTTTAACGAGTTTTGTACGCATACACATGTCATAAAATTGAAAACTACCACTCAGTGACGAATATTTTGTCTTAATTAAACCATTACACTACAGACGTAATACGTTCGTCATATAAATTAAACATCGTTTTTTTCATTTCAATATAACCCATGCATTACATCTCTTTTATAAATTACTTAAATATTCATAATATGATTAATAAAGATCAGAATGATTATATTGTATTCATTGCTACTTGTTCTGATGGTAGGATTGGACGAATTGTGATTTTTCGAAATCGGTTAACAGATGTTGCACGCGAAACCGAGCTCGATAAAATATCTCTGAAACAACAACCACGTCGAAACAAAACTCGATTTGTTATTCGATTTTACTGTTCAGTTAGGAATTGAAATCGGTAGAAATCTGGAGACATTAAGTTTTATATAGAAGGTTCAGATTCCTAGTTCTTTAATCTTCTTCCATTAAAACCAATCATTATTAAGTAATAAGTTGTTTTCCTCTTTGTCAGCAGTTGTGTTTGCTGTAAATTATGAAAATTTTGCAATGTGTTTATTTTGTCCCCAATATAATTATCCAAAACAATAAAAAGTTGCATTTTAAACTTTGATAGCATTAAACGTATGAAGTATTGACTTGAATCGCAATAATAAGTCTCGACATTTTGTCCATTCTCCAAATTCGCAAAATAAATGATATAAAAAAAACTGTATTTACAGTAACACTTTAACTTATAAATTACAAAAAAAAGTATTTTTTAATGAACTTTCATACCACACGTATTAAACTAGGTATTATTTTTTAGAATTTGATTATCAGTTTTATCTAATAACTTTTGTGTGGAAATGTTATGCCACATTAACCTCATAAACACGACAACATTTGCATATTTGACCTTCACTTGCCAATTCAAAAACATATTTTTCAGGTAAAGAAATATAATTCATAAAAGATATTACCTCACATCAGCATTTTTGCTTAAATAATTTCTTTCTTTATTATAGGTTATTGCTCATATATTGATAATATAATAATCCTTAAATATGGCTATTATCTGCTTCTGTACTTTGTCTATAGAGTGTCTATATGCCATTTTGTGTTTCTTTGTGGAAATAGTTATTTGTTTTTATACTGATTAAGATTATATTACAATGTTGACTGCTGTAATCCAATTTTTGACATTTTTACCTATTAGGTCTATTTGTTTTGCTCACACATTGTTGTAAATATAATGATATTCTTTGAGACTGTCGTACAAGTGAGAGGTTTAGCTAGCTATAAAACCAGGTTTAATCCACCATTTTTGACATAAGGAAATGCTTGTACCAAGTCAGTAATATGACAGTTGTTTCCATTCGTTTGATGTATTTGAGCTTTCGATTTTGCCATTTGTTAATGGACTTTCAATTTTGAATTTCATTTGGAGTTCGGTATTTTTGTTATTTTACTTTTTATTAAGCAGTTTTGTATTATTTCCTTTAATATAAAAAAAAGAAAATGGCGAAAAGCAAATTAGTAAGACATTTTCTTACAATGGTACCAGTGGGTTATCGGATTTATCGGCGAGGACTTTAAAATTGATAATTTAACTAACGAGATTGGATAAATCCGATAATCCACGAGTAACTATGTAAGAATCTGAATCTGTTTCTCTAATGATTATCAAATCAATTTGAATTGAATGATTGGTAATTGCTTTACGCCTCATCAGCACAAAAGCTATATCGCGGCGAGGACCAAAAAAATCAATTTAAAAAGGAAAGCGTTAAATTGCCACAGAAAATATATATATATATCTGCTCATACTGATTGTTTGATATTGTTTACGAAATGTTTCCTTATGTAAAAGTAATATTTATATTTCTAGTATTTAATCAACATATTTTAGAAAATGTAGAAATATTATAAGCAAATAGGAAATCATATTGAGCAAACATCTAACTTATTACTATGAATGATTGATTGATGTTTGCGTTACGTCCAGTCAAAAATATTTCATGCATGTTCAAGACGAGAACAAATTAACAATAAATACAATAGGTAGGTCCTTTAATAGAGGCCGTCCGGGATGAAAATCGGGGAAATTTGGACTGCCACTGGAGAAGGAGGTATATTGGATAATTACAAAAAAATTGCCTTGCAACAGGCCACCTACCGACTATGACTGGTTATTCCTGAGAATGGTCAACAGTGTCAGTGATTTTAAGACATTGATCAAACTTTTAGAGATGGAGGTAATGTTTAAATGTATCGTTTAAAGCGATGAAGTCCAAGTATTTTAAAAAGGGAAGTGTAGGGTACTCTGGAAGGTAGTCTATTTGCCTAAGTAAAATTACAAAAATACCGAACTCCAAGGAAATTCAAAAAAGAAAGTCCCTTATCAAATATAAAAATTAAAAGCTGAACACATCATACGAATGTAATAAGATCTTTTATTTGTCTCCCTTAGGAGGGACATAAATTTTAATTGACAATGGTGAGCTAGCGGAAAGAGAATAATTATCAGTGCGTAATGTATGTAACTTTTAAGTATTTCAAATCTTTTAATAACGCTTAAATTTTTGTTTAACTTAAAAAATTTGATACCAGCAGTTTGATGTATCTGTCACTGAAAATTGGTAGAAACGCCGATATATCACTTTCGACTTATCATGGTTTGCGTGAGCAGAGGCCAAAATTGTCTGGTATAAAACCAGTCTACAAAGGGTAGCAGTTGGTGTTAAAAGTGTGTAATAACAGAATCAAATCGGTAATTAGCAATAGACTGATAAAATGTATCAAAAATTGGAGGGATTGGTTCACCCTCTTTGTTGAAGGCCTTGTGTTTAACTATAGATGTCATGATATCTTAGTTGTTCTGTGTTTGTGTTATTTTTGGTAGGTTACTATTAAATTGACTAATAATAAAACTTCCTTATATTCATATCATTATTGGCTTTCAGACATGTCAGAAACTATATCATCACCTACGCATTTTACCCGAAAACATAGACGTAGAAAGTTCAGAAAAATCAAAGCAGGTATATAAGCAATTCATAATTAATTGGATAAATATATACTCTGTGGTAATAGCTATATTGTATTAATTATCTCCAAAGAAGGGGACACTGTATTTTATACTTTATTAATCCTTTCTAATATGTCACTTTATTACCTGTACATTAAAAATGTTGTATCCTAAAACGTTGCTGTGGTTGATAATTTGAAACATGTATTACCGGATGAGAACCAGAAGGTTATTGGTACATGTCTGGTTTACTTATCATTATACGTTTCTTATGTTTCTGTAATCAGATATACACATTTGCGAGAATTAGTATGATACCGTGTAATGTGTAACGAAATAAAAAAAGAATAAAAAGAACAAAAATTGCGGAAAAATATATAAAGGCGCCATGTTGTCGCCTCCATGTAATTGAAAATTATTCTGTGCCTTAGTGTAAAGACCAAAATCGCCCCTTCTACCTTTTCTACTCGTTTATCAAGCATATGTTTGATTCCCTGTCCTTATTGGAATAAAAATTGATATTGTAAATTTTATGACTACTACTGGGTAGAAACCGGTGTTGATGGACTGTTAATTTCAGGGGTTCTCTCCAGCCTAGTAGCCAGTACTTGGGTATTGGCATGAAATTACGTCAACCATTATAGTTTTATTAAAATTTGTTGCAATGTAATTTTGAAAATTCGCTAGAATTAAGGATCGTTTCTCTGTCATGCGTAGGTTTAATTTCATGTCCAGGTTTTGTCTTTACTTTTGGTTCGTATTGGTTGCATCAGCATTTTAACGTTTGCATTAAGATTTGATTGTTTTTGATTTGATTGTTTTTAATATTTTGGATTCCGTCGTCACTGAAGAGACATTAATTATCGAAAAGCGCATCTGATGCAATTATATATGTAACGCCAATGGTATTAACGTCAGCAACGGATAACTTAGACAAAGGATTTAATGAAATCACACATAGTCAAATAAACGCAATTGATATTTCAAAGCACACATGCTAACATATGCTTTCTTCAAATTGATATTGATGCTGTATCAAATTTAATGAAAAAAAACAAACGTAGTTTTCTAAGCGTAAAGAAGCAACTTTAATTTTTATGTGATATTTCAGTAATCTTTTTTAATTCATGCTATTAACATGTATTTGATGATTTGTTGATTTTTGTCAAATCTGTAGTTTTGTGATGTTGAATTATATTTGTATTCGATAATTTCTAAGCATATATATTATTGATAGGTCCAAGACGCATAAAGAGGCCCAAAAAGAAAAGAATTTCTGCAAAGAATGTTGCAACTAAATATAAAAGACCTCGATCTTCATTCAGAAAGAATCAGAAGAGACTTAAAAAACAACTGTCACAAAACCCTGATATTTCCATTAATAAACGAAAAAGAAAGAAGCATCAATTTACAAAAGTATCAGAAAATATAAATAACGATCGGAGTTTAGCTGCAGACCATCTAATAAAAGATACCTCTAACATAATAAATGACGCAGATGTTTCAACACATCATTTAGTGACAACTGGAGTAAGAGAGCAACATTCAAAAGAAACCCAAGGACTTAAGAAAAACAAAGAAAATGCAGTTCCTCAGCTGCTGAATGAATCCAATACGTCCCATGACAACGAGGAAATGGATAAATTACAAGAAATTAATAAACCATTCTTGGAAAACAAAACAATACAGCCACATCATATGTTTACTGAACCAAATCTTTCAACACAAACTCCGCAACCTGAACAGTTCGAAAAACCAAATTCAAAAGCATGGGCCAGTATTCCAGGTTTAAAGATACCGATTGATGATGTAATATTACCATTTGGTAGGTATCCTCTATTTACTAACGTAAAATTATTATCAAATACTGTATGTCGTCTTATATCTATTTAATGGTACCAATTCATAAAAAAATTTATATGGAAAATTATCTACCAAAGTCAATAAGACTAGGATCTAAACAACGTCAGGTCACTGTACCTTTTTACAGTTGTTTAGACTATAACTGTGCACTAAAAGTATTATATTGCTCGGTATCAGACTGAAGTGCGTGAAAAACTTACCAAATATACACCAAGCAAACATAATTTATTCGGTTACTACAATTTTGTTGTGGATTAAAAACTGCAATAATTATTGCCTGACGAGTTCTCTGGTCACCATCACAAACTTGTCAAAAGTTTCAGTTTAGAATTATTAGGGAGCGACGAAACACTGTTACACATAGTAAATCATCTATATGTGATAAGTTATAATGCATTTAAAATTGGAGAAGCGACTCGTTTGGAATGTCTTTCATTGACCCGACAAAAATCTACAAAGCACGTAAAGTGTATTAAGTACCTAGTAAAAAAAATCACTTATAAGAGCATATTTCTTAAATCCCATAGATTCGCTGTCGTCCAACTTACCACTGAATATGTCACGAGCATCATGACGGGTGCGACTGGTGATGTAGGATATGCTTACTCTTTCGACGCATCCGATAACACTCCCGGTTGTTTGTGGATTTTGTTCTTATGTATTATGTGTAGTATATAGCTTGTTTTAGCGTCTTTTTCGACTTCTGTTTTTTGGGGTTTTTTTTTTATCGTCCCCTCACCTCCTTCAACAATTATATGGTTTTAACAATTTCAAATGGAAGTGCAATGGTTTAAAAAGTGTTGCACATAAATTAGGAAATGCTTATTGTGTCACCACAACTAGTCTCATTTGAGTATAGACTATTCCGACAGTTCTCACTCCTATACTCTTCAAATAATTTTGACTTTTATATAATCAGTATGCCAGTTTCGTGTATATTAAGTTGACAAAACTAAATCAAGTCAAGACCATGGAAATTCCTTCAATAATTAACATTAACCAACATCACACGGACAGCTGAAGACAAACCCCATGAAGTACAGATCTATATACAAGTAAAAAGCAGCATAACATTCCCAAACAAAAAACTGTGAAATATTAAACAAGCAACAATGGAACCATAAATAATTTGTATTGATTTTTTAATACCACGTGTTTAAATTCGAGCGACATTGATGAGCCTTATGTGGATGAAATACGCACCAGGCGTACAAAATAATAAGCCTGATTTCTTTGAAGATTTTTTTTCTGGTTCTTGACAAATTCAATGCAATAAAAGTACGTGAATATCATTTTGAGATGACATTATACTGATGATATATTGTAGACAAACCTTTGCCAATCATCGACAAACAGATATCTGGCAATGAAGAAAGAAAATACAAAACATTTTATCCAAAATCAAAAATAAAAGGAGTTCATCATTTTGGAAAATTTAGAGATGTTGTAAATACCATGTGGTCTGGAAATACGTTTGACAGAGAGCATGGCGGCATCTTGGAAAATTCTGATTCGTTATCTAAGTCTGAATTGAATTCAGAAAGAGCTTCTCAAGTCGATACAAAGATAAATCGCCTAGCATCGATACTCGGTACAGTAACTTATATCTTATGGTACCTTTTGAATAATGTAATGAACTTCACTTGTTGATCAGTAAGAATTGTTATTTATACGGTGTATATGTATCTCAAATTATTTACTGAAAGAGTTTAATAACATGAGTAAGGTTACCCTTTGGTTTATTTCCTATTATACAAACACTTTGAACCGTAACAACTTTTTAGATGATTATTCAATCAACACAAAATAATGTATATTGTTTTTAGATCAATCATTGCTGAAATAGTCTGATAAATTATACCAAAAAACTATTTTGAACAAATATTTGAAACATATTACAATACACAACATTTTTAAATTCCTATTATCCCAGTGTGTAAAAAGTCGAATTTCAAATGTTAACTACATTTTAGCCGATCTTTAGAATTGTATGTATACATTTCTTGTCATTTAATGCCTAGTGAAATCTTTAAAAAAAAATTGCAATACTTAAAATTTTTGAACCAACAAGTATTTAGTTTCGTTAGACAGATGGACAGAAAAAAATATTATCCACAAATTAATGCGAAAAAATATTCATATAAATTTTGTGCCCGATTTAGTGCTGTAAATTTAGGTTTGTCGGTTTATTTTATAGATTCGTATATACTAATAACATGAAATATGAAAACTTTGACCCAACAAAATTACCAAGGATTTGAAAAAAAGATACATTGTATTCATCATACGTACATGCCATATTAATGTCGCTTGTAAATAAAGGTTTATCAAACAAGAGGAAAAGATAAGTTGAAGAGAAACTGACAACGCCATGACAATAACAAAAAACGGACCACGACGAAAAGAAAACATATTAAGAGTGTAACAGATCGTCATTGAACGCTATTTATTGTAACTTGTGGATAGCTTTTCTTAAAAAGAACACGGATTTGTTCCGTACAATTTGAAACTTGACCAGGAAGGTCAAAATTTTGATAAGTAGTACCAGGAATCGATTGTTCTTACACTCACTTATATATCTGATAAATGATGAAGATAAAACAAATACTGGCATGTCATATATTCAGATCCATCTCTTATGCGTCGTTTACCTTGACGAGTTTTACAAACACTAAATGGATGTCACTGCTTGTCGACGTTTTGTTCACGAGGGTATTACTTGCCCAGTAGTCGACACTTAGGTGTTGACATGAAATATCATTGATATGTGCATTTCCTGTAAATTTACTGTTGATAAAATATTGAATACACTAGAATTTACAAAGCCGTATTGAGAAAAGTACACCAGAGTATGTTGATGCTTAGAAAAATGTTTGTGTTTATTACAAAGATAGTTATTGACGTAAAAGAGTCTAATAGTTTCATGTTTTAGCAATATTAAGATATAGTTAAACGAACAAATTTAATCACAAATATTGATAATAATAATATCATTAACGGTGCCAGTTATACTGAATCGGGTGCACATTTCCCAAACAACATCGTTTTTGTGTGTAAATATCATTACATAAACTGCTTGATAAATGCATTAGGTATTGACAATTCGTTTGGAAACTCAACATATACCCTCACGACACTTACCAAAGAGGAAATTCTGGATAATCATAGGTCTGTTCTATGTTCCTTTGGAATTTCAACCAAAGATGAAGAACTGGATCTCCCTTCACTGTATTGGATACCTAAACTACACAAGTGTCCTTACAAACAACGGTATATTGCTGGGTCTTCTAAGTGCTCCATGAAACCTCTTTCTAAATTATTAACATCTATTTTATCAGCAATCAAAGCCGGGCTCCAAAGTTATTGTGAAACTGCCTATTCTAGAGGTGGCGTGAATCAGATGTGGACACTAAAAAATTCCAAAGATCTTTTAGAGTACATACAATCTAAGACTCTCTCATCTTGCAATAGTATTAAAACATTTGACTTTTCTACATTATACACAAGTATTCCCCATTCCAAACTAAAAGACAAATTGAAAGAGTTGGTATTACGTTGTTTCATTAAAAAGAATGGCGAACGTTGATACAAGTATCTTGTCTTGGGGAGGGATAAATCCTACTTTGTAAAGAATCACTCTGATTCAATCAAAAAATTCTCTGAAACTGACATTATCAAGATGCTTGATTTCTTGATTGACAACATATTTGTTACGTTTGGAGGACATGGCGTTGTCATTTGTTTTCGATCTATGAGTTTGACTGTCCCTCTGGTATCTTCCGTCCCTCTTTTTTCGACGATTAATGTCTGATCAGTGAAGGCCTAAAATATTTGAATTCAAAACCGAATATTAACGTTGAAATGCTGATCAAACCATATAGGACCTGAATTATAGCAAAATCAAATGTCCTTTTAATATGCAGTTTTATTTTTATTTATTTTTTGTATCTGTTTGACGTAAGACCAAATTCCCTTTTTTCGGAGGGAACCTTACAATTAGTTTTTGGTATAAAAATCAAGAAGTATTTTTATCTAACAAATCATTGATATAAAAGTAATTGCATATATCAGCATTCATATTTTTGATTGAGTCTACCATATTTGCGCAATGATTTCAAACGTCATGCAATAAATGCAAATTTTTTTAATAAAAAAAGGGACCAAAATAGCCTCATTTTGAAATTTTGTTTTTAATATTATGATATGAAGAGTTACATAGAAAATCTTGTGCTAAAAAAAAAACAATGTCAAAGATGCCTGTGTAAGTAAAATATCTTTTAAGGTAAGGCAGTCGCGCAAATCTGATGTTTTTGAAAAATACTTGTAAAATTGCCATTTTAAATGAAGTTTGTCAATTTCAACATGTTTCTGACTTCAAAGTGACATCATATCTTATAGTTTTGTTTTAATATCTCTAGTTTATAAATTCCTTTTCACTCATCCAAAGTACTAAGACTATACTCCTTCTCAAGGAATTGAAAAATTTAGCTTTTTTTTCAATTCAGAGGCTCTCATCAGATCTCCTCCTCTCATTAAATAAAAGTTTATTTTCAGGTCAGTCTAATCACAGAAGGAAAAGAGCCACTGGAAGCTACAATGTGGAAGTATTTGTCATAATTGACTTCCCAATATATAACTTGTAAGTGAGTATAACTTCCAAAAGCTAAACTCTTTGAATTGAAACGTGTGCTACCAATTTAGTGATCACAACATGTGTTTCTTGAATAGCCTTCATCAGGTACTACCCAAATCAAAATTTATGGAAGCAAACACAGAAAAAAAAGTCTTTGAACATCTAAAATGGATGGGTCTGAATAAAACAACCGAGACATACTAAAGTCCACTTAGTTTGTCAATGTTGCAAGAAAATTAATATCAAAGGAAGATGAAAAACAAAGAGCACCATTCCAAAGAAAAAGAAAAAAGAAAAAATCTTATATTACTTGAGTTATGTATTGCTTTTAAGGATGAAGTCAGGTGAAATTAAAAAAATCTGGAATTCAAAATTGATACTATAAATCAGAAGAGCATTAGTTAAGGAACAAAATAAGCTAAAACCATTGATAGGTTATGGAACTCCTTTTCAAAATATTTAATTTTGAAAAATGGCGGGAAAAGGCTGACTCGGGCTTTTTACCTTATATTTAGCATTGGCATTATTTGGGTCTTAAATCGTAAGAAAAGAAATCTAGAATCTGCTTAAATTTTGATAATGACCTTTTTATGAGCTATTGAAGTCTTATATAAAAGCAAAAGTGGATGATATGGGGCAAAATATTTTACCCGGTATCGTAGAAAAAACCCAAGGAGTCCGAACATCTGACAAAAAATCCTAAACCTGACATGAATACATCCTTAAGTTGATGTTTTGTGTTAGTCAAATGATTCAAACATGATAAACTTTTGTGTGTAAATTTGTATTATAGTTATGAAAATTAAGGATATAAAATAACTGAAATGGAATGTCGATAAAACATGCTGGTTTTTAATCAGATTTGATTTTTAATATTGTGATTTGTGCAAGTAAAATGATATTATCATAACTGAATTTCCATTTTAAATTCTCATTCTTGAAAAAGAATTTATCATGTTCACCAATGACAGTTCGATTAAATAAAACTTCTGTAGAGTTACAAACAAATAACTATCAAAATAAATAATACATGTAACAAAGAAGATGTGGTATGATTGCCAATGAGACAACTCTCCACAAGAGACCAAATGACACAGAAATTAACAACTATAGGTCACCGTACGGCCTTCAACAATGAGCAAAGCCCATACCGCACAGTCAGCTATAAAAGGCCCCGAAATGACAATGTAAAAACAATTCAAACGAGAAAACTAACGGCCTAATTTATGTACAGAATGTTCAGTCAATCTTCATTGCAGTGTTTGTTCTTAAAAAAGACGCATTTTTTAATTGCTTATTTTGTGCTTTAGCTGGCTGAGGGAAGAAAATTCTAATAGCGATAGAGCACTACAACGAGTCCGAGAGTATTACACATTTTTGTTGTTAGGAGTAAGTATTCAATGGGACAAACATACACATAATTTTACAGTATGAAAAGGTTGGTTTACATTATTGAAACCCAAGCAACACAATTTTTACAAAAAAGTAGATCAAATTGCCATAAAAGAGATGCGAAAGATAACAACTGGACATTCAAACTCATATGTCCAACATAAACTGACAACGCCATGGCAAAAAAAAAACCGTAAAAAGACAAAAAATAAAACCAAACAACAATATACAAAACACAACATAAAAACTAATGACTGAACAAAACGAACCCCACTAAAAACCGGGTGTGATCTCAGGGTCTCCAGAAGGATATAAATGCTATAATCGAAGTTCAAGCTGATGACACTAAAGATTCGACAAACTTCGGAAATAGTTGAGTTTTTTTTCTATTTAATTATCAAATGAGTTATTAAAACAATATAATAAAACCAGAAATTCATTCAATTTAGAGATAACTGTATTGTATTTGAAGCTTTGATTCCGTCAGTCGATAGTTTAATTGTCGCAATTACATTCAATAATGTAGTATATGGCACTGTGAATTATTAAAACGTTTGATACGATATTTTATCGCAAATAAGCGCCTTTATAGTAACCTTCAAGTTGGTAAAACTAAATAAATCTTGAGCATAATAGGCGACTCTATAGAAATTTCAATACGTACGCTTGTGACCATAGCCTCGACAGATAACAATTGAAACCGTTTACATGTAAGAGTATAAACACCAAAAGGGCAAACATAGAACTACGGTAATCATCGACCTTGGTTTGAAACCAATTACATTTGTTTAAATTAAAATTCGGACAAGAATGCATCGAAAAATTGGTCAGAATGTGAGAACTGGCTACTTGAGGGAGATAACTCTTGTATTTTAACATGACAATTCACACTTCTTACTTCTGTATTTTTCTCCTCACCAATTTAAAATAGTTTTGTCTTATTTTTGAAAGGTAGATAACAGATTTAAGAAAATGAGTGCATCTTACAGAATTGGAGTAAACCTAGTAGGCATATATGTAGCTAAGGTGAGATATAATGTCGAAATAAAAGCACTATTTTTTCAGATTTAAGTAATATAAATGTGAAAGATAACTCACTTTGCATGTTGCCCAAAAACGATTCCTTCTTAACAGTCAGGGTTGTACTTTATTCAAAATTATCTCCCCATTACGCCAGCATATTTTTTATTTTATCATTTTAGAAAGTTCAAAATCATTTAAATAATTCTAATTAAATGTTTCGTGGAAGGGAAGACTAAAAATTTTCAGGGGTTGGAGACTAATAACCTTAGATAGCACACACAAAAAATAAAGTATAATTTATGCTTATGCACAAAAAAGATCCACTTGTATTAGCACTTACCACAATCGACTGTTTTATGAAAATTTGTCTATAATTTAAAAGTTTACAAATATCTCGAAGCTCCATTCTATAATTTAGGTAAACATGTTTATTAGGTGCATAAAATCCTAAATTATGCACCTTTATTAAACTTTTAAAGCCCATAGAAACCGATGTAAACAATTCAAATATATCGATTTGGCTTTTTTACCTTCTCTAACAAATGGTTCCATTTCTTTCGTTTAATTTCTACTGGGTGTCCGCCTGTTAGATATGCGCTACGTCGGTTTCTTTTTTTTTTTTCATTTTAACAGTAACAAATATCAAGTAGTATTAAACAAAAACGGTTTATTTAGTTGTCTGTTTACAGATTGTCGGTGGTGAAACATTCATTTTAATATACGAAATGAAACCTTGTAACAGGACCACGTGTTATCTAATGCTATATCATGTTTAATTTATAACGAAGGCGTTTTATCTCAGTTATATTTAAAAAAAGGATATGAAACCTTTTAACATCACCACGTGTTAACTTTGTTGCCATATGCAGTGTTATGGCATGTATTATTTATAACAAAGATGTATTTTCTCAGTAAAATTTCAAAATTTGAACTTGTGTAATACTTTTCCAGAGGTCATCTGATCTTAGTTTTATCCAGAACCATCTTTCAAGTGGCATTTTAAATGCTGATACCGCTCTCTCTGCGATGAAGCAATGGGTGCAGACAAATGGAATACCTAGGCACGATCATATCATGACTTTTACAAGGTGAGTAGGTTTAATATATATACAATATTAGGTCAATGTCAGAAAAATATAAACTTTTTTGTATGAGGCTGAGAAACTGGGGATGGGCGAGGTTTAATGATAGCTATTTGAATTGTAATACAAATTTCAAACTTATTTTCATCCTTAAGGATGTTCGCTACTCTGTTTCAAAATAACAAGCTTTTTAAAATACTGTTATATATTGATATTATATACATAAAGGAACTAAAAAAGCAGAAAAAAATGAAGGGTCCGTGTGCTTGTTTTTGAGATATAAGCCATTGAAAATTTGGCGGGAAATGATTCTCTAGATTTTTCATACATTCAACATTGGTACCTTTATTTCATTCAAAAACTATGAAAAAATAACAAGGATTTTATAAGATTTTCAAAGATGGCATTTTAAACTATATGTAATCAAATTATGGGAAAAAAAGTAGGGGTTAGTGTGCAAAAAATTTTTAATGGCACTACATGGATAAAACTAGAGGATTCCGAATATCTGGCAAAAATTCAAAAACAAGAGGAGCGAACATCCTTAAATGAACCCCTGATTGTGAATAAAGTGATCCATGATGAAATTGACATTGCACAAAATATAGCTTTCAAAAATTGTTACTTTATTTAGGAAATAAACACAACTAGTTGCAGTATAAAATGATATACAACCTCATCAGAGGTTGTCTTTTTTCTAATTTAAAGAGGTAGGGAGTTAATATCTTAAATACAACACTTCAGAATTATAAAAAAATACATAGCATACTGTTAACACTCATTAGTTTCATGTCGGAACTGCTTTCCGTTGGTTGTTAACTTTTGATTTTGTCAGTTTTTTTAAGGACTTCCTCTTTTTCTTTTTTCAATTTACCTTCGAGTTCGGTTTTATGTTATACTTTTGTCGCCTAATAATATGGAAATTTTATAGTATTATATCTGAATATGAAAGAACTTCGATACAGTAAAATATTTATATAATTGATATTCATGATTGCACACGTTTAACGCTGTCCAATATCTTGCTTGACCTCAGCAGTGCCTTAGTGCCACAATCATCTATTTACCTTCAAAAGGAGGAAACATATACTATTAATCATGTTTTATCTTAAGTTTAAATAGTTATCATTACAAAGAGGTCCATAAAACAAATTAAATAGAATTGAGAATGAAAAAGGGGAATGTGTCAAAGAGACAGCAACCCGACCAAAGAGCAGAAAACAGCACAAGGCCACCAATGGGTCTTCAACACAGCGAGAAAATCCAGCACCCGGAGGCGGGCTTCAGCTGGCCCCTAAACATAAATGTGTACTAGTTCATTGAAAATGGACGGCACACTAAACTCCGAAACATATGAATGAACTAAAATTAAAAAAAAACATACAAGACTAACAAAGGCCAGAGGATCCTGACTTGGGACAGGCGAAAACTGTGGCGGGTTTAAACATGTTTTGTGGGATCCCAACCCTCCCCTATACCTTTAGCCAATGTAGAATAAACAAACACACAGCAATACGCACAGTAAAACTCAGTTTAAAAAAGTCTGAGTCCGATGTTAGAATAGGTAACAGAAGAAACTAAGAAAAATGACAATGATACATAAATTAACAAAGGACTACTAGCAGTTACTAACATGCCAGCCCCCCCCCCCCCCCCCCATATTAATTCCAAAATATGCCATCTTTAATGACCTGACAACAGTATCGTAAATATATCCCTTCTGAATAAGTCTGTTTAAAGGTTTGGTTAGCTTTAGAGGTGAATGACGACATTTGTGTGCTTTGTATAGAATATTACCATAAAAAATTGGGTGTGAAATACCTGAACGTATAAAATGTCTGCATGCTGATTTATATTTACTAATGATTTCATTGTACCGATGATAAAATTTATTAAATGTTTTGACTAGTGTGTGATATCGAAAACCCTGGTGTAATAATTTTTCAGTAATACAGAGATTTCTTTCGTTAAAATCAAATACGTTGTTACATTCACGAGCGAATCGAACAAGTTGAGATATATAAAATGATTACTTTGGTGCTGTGAGCCTCTTTACTGTAAACATTCATTAAAGATGTGTTATGTTTTAGAACGTTACCGGTTCAATGCATAATATAGAATCTCCTATTTCCTCCAGAATACTGATCGAAAAGCGCTTAACGATTTAAACTAAAAATAAATGAAATGTCGTTGTTAGTATTACGTAAGTGTATACCAAGGGATCAGGGGCTGATTCAGGCGGGGGCGTGGGGGGTATGCGCCCCCCCTCCCCCCTCCCCTAAAATTTGCAAAGCATGGGTCGTCCTTAGCTTAATAAAGAATATTTCGATAATTTTACCTCAAAAATTTTTTTCGCCTAACTTAAAATCCATGTTCGTCCCTGGGGATTATACATCCCATTGTTTGACAAGTCTATTGTGTAGTTCTATTTCTAATTGTTATCGAATTTATTACTTTTGGGCTAACAAATTGGGTAAACATGTGTTCAAAAACCAGAATTCCTCTGTTTGTTTTTTTAAGGTATGACATGCGCAGTGGATCGTTCGATACGTCAGGTAAGACATTATCACGTACATAATATTTTGGTAACAGTAAAAAAGTACATTTCTTTTCTCATGTAATTATTGAGACTTAAGGATGTAGTCGTGTCAGGTTTAGGAATTTTTGTCAGATGTTCGGACTCCAAGGGTATTTTCCTACGATACAGTGTAAATTATTTTGCCCCATATCACCCACTTTTCTTTTCATATAAGACTTCAATAGATCATAAAAGGTCATTTAACAACAACAAAAAATTGAAATTAAATATCTCGAAAAGGAGTTCCATAACCTATTAATATTTTTAGCTTATTTTGTTCCTTAAGTAGTGATCTTCTGATTTAAAGTATCAATTTTGAATTCCAGAATTTTTTAATTTTACCTGACTACATACATACATCCTTAATGTTGATGCTATGAATATAATCATACTTTTTTAAATATCTAGCGTCGTTTAGATAGCAGAATGTTAAATCCAAGGATTTTAAGACTAGCCTATTTTCATTATTCTTTAAAAGATTCTGTATGAAGTCTGTTAAATACGAATAAAGGAACAAGTCTGTACATATATTCATCACAGATTTCCTTCTATACTGTACATGTATGTTAGTATACACAGAAGTGGTATTCCATACCTTTCAACCTATGTTTATTCCAGGTACTGCTTACCTGAATTCCATTTGTACTACTAGATCAAACTCTATAGTGGAAGAAAGGTTTGATTTTATTGCAGCTACAGTTGCCGCTCATGAGATTGGACATGCGTATGTTTATATAATTATTGGTGTTCTATTATCTACGAAAGCCTATTAGGGTCACAAAAAAAATATTTTTATCTCGTAATTACGAGATAAAAAATTATTATCTCGTAATTACGCGATAGTTTTCTCTTAATTACGAGATAAAAAAATTTTTTTTGTGCCCTAATAGGCTTTCGTAATTATCAACTCTTTATTGATCATTTGCATATTATCAAAACATATATGTGTTCTTGATCGAACTCCCTAAGGCAAGGTTAACCTTAGTCGAATATAAAAATAAAATATAAAGAGTGTATACATGTATGCATACAAATATCCTATTGCTCAACGTTTAAATGAGTTTATGCACAACTGGTTTTTGTTTTCCTAATTACTGCCGTCGTGCATTCATCTTAGAAGATTTTTTCGAGAAAAGGTCTTCCTTTTGCAAATTTACATTTCTATATTAACTAAAATGGTTATATTTTTATTGTTTTGAAATTACTCAGGACTTTTTTATAAGCAGCTGTCAATTGTTAGTCTGTCTGGATTAATAATAGAGATCTTTACAGCTGATTTTTAAAGACGTAAACAAATGTTAGAGCTCACTATTTCTTTAAATCTTTAAATTATCCGAAGACGTTTGATTGGACCATTTTATTATTTCCCTATGATTTGGATCTCGTTATCAGCTAATCAATTTCCAGAATTGTATAAATCATATGAATTTATTATACTTCACATTAAAATGCCATATTTTGATTGGCTGATACGAAGGTGTTAATTTACTCTATTACCCTTCATGGAGACGCTTGATCAAGTGTGCGCTTTATTAAATACGGATGGTTGTTATGTACAAGACGTCATAGTTTATTACTTTGAATTTGAAATCTAATCAACAGTAATAACAGAACATTCAGTATAATAAATTAAATAACACATATCTGAGAGGGTGATAGAGCAGATTGTTACCCCTCGAAAAGACATTGTCAACCTTGGCTTCGCCTCAGTTGACAATGTTTTTTCGGGGTAACAATCTGCTCTATCACCCTCTCAGCTATGTGTTATTTATATAATGTTAAACTTGTCAAAATAAAGACGTTGTTAATTTTTGCTCTTGAATAAAAACTATTTCGAAAAACCTTTCTAATTCAGAAAAAAAAAACACGTTGCTAGATTGCTGGCCTTTAATTGATAGCATCCTAACGACTACATGGGATCGCCTTAGCTCGCTGCTGCTTGTTGGGCATCACAGTTTTTTATTTATTCTTTTGTTTGTTTTTGTTTTGTTTTTTTGAGGGGGTACTTTTTCATTCACTTGCTTGTATTTAAGTTTATGATTTATGATCTTCTATCGAATGGTGTGTATGTAATGTGAAACCCAGTTCAGTGACGTCATATGTTTGTTTATTGCAGTTTAGGCGCAGTTCATGACGGAGATAACAACAGGTGTTCAGCATCAAGTGGATTCATTATGGTGTCCATCAGTCAGGCTTTGAGACCCCCTAACCAAAAAAGTCCATGGCAATTTTCTTCCTGTACTTCCAGGGAAATTGGTTTATACTTAGATGAGTTAAATAAGTAAGCATATAAAAAATTACTGTATAAAATAATTGAACTTAACCTTTATAAAGTTGTGTTTCCTTATTTAGTCTTAAAGGTTTTTTTTCGCATATATATTTAATTATTCCTCATGACGTAAAAAAATAATCTTTGGCATTGTTACGTAAATGATAATATACTCAGAATATAAAGAAACGCATTTTTTTTCAAAATTGTATTCGGTGTTGTTCGTGTGCTTAAGATTAATTTTTACAACAACGCTTTGGTTTGGTGTATTGAGATAAATTAAAATATTTCACGTACGAATGCAGGATATTGAACTAAAATTTCGGTCAATTTCCGATAAAGTTAAAGACAGTTTATATTGTGACCGTCATGTGCGATTTACACTGTTCTGCCTTTCTTGTCATGGATCGAATCAAATTTCGTATTCGTACCTATGGTATCCTTTGCCATTCGTGTTGCCAAGATCATGGTTGAGATTTAAATTCGGTGATTTGTCTCCCATGGCAAAACATAAGTACTGTTATTAAAGTTTGTTAGGAAATCCATGGTTACCTATAATGAAATCCATGGTTATCTATCATGTAATCCATGGTTACCTATCATGAAATCCATGGTTACCTATCATGAAATCCATGGTTACCTATCATGTAATCCATGGTTACCTATCATGTAATCCATGGTTACCTATCATGTAATCCATGGTTACCTATCATGAAATCCATGGTTACCTATCATGTAATCCATGGATACCTATCATGTAATCCATGGTTACCTATCATGAAAACCATGGTTACCTATCATGTAAGAGACCGACATTTGTCCTACTGAAACATCTCCCCTTGTTTGTCAATAGAATTAAGCATATATGGCCGCAATATATAATTGAATCATTTAATTCCTCAGACATGCACTTAGTCAGTTCTGTGGTTGACTGTCGACTTTTCGTACGCAGGCTCAAACGCTCATTTCGACGTCTCTATACGCGTGTTTGGCAAGACATCTTTGGAAAAGAAAAAGCTTCTATGAACCGAATGAAACGCCCGTTCCTCAAAGTTCAGAACTTAAACGTATGACACGAACGAATACGACCACGTATATGTACATTGTTTAAAATCAGTCTAATATGAGTTTTTTTTTACCGAATTTCACAATGGCAAAGCCAGATACGGACTGTTTAAATTTGAAATGCTCCGCAAACCTTGGATATAAGCAGCAGTGGTTGAAGCCATGACTGATATACCGAATTTTGCTATAGAAGTGATGCGTGACACGTCACTTCACGGGCGATTTTGATCTTATCAAATGGGATTTTATCTCTCATAAGGCGTGATATCGTGCTCTAGTGAGCATTGAAATTCGGGCGACCTCAGTTTGACAAGGTCTAGACTAATGGCAGCCTTTTGTTACATGTATCAGTGTCATGTCCTGGCCTATAGCGTAATTCAGAGAATACAATACAATCGCAAGTTAAACACCAATTATTTAAAACCGATAGTTTCGTGAGTGATTTAATCACAAGTTATTCATGAAATAAACTAGTATGAAGTCTTGCGAAATCACTTGGAGTCTTCGAAATTGTACCGATATTTTGCAAAGTGTATCTTTAATTTTGGACTCATATAACCGCACTTTGAAGAAAGTGATATATTCTTTTATTCCTATCTGTTCTTCCTTCTGTCCGTTATTCTATCTGTCCGTCCGTCCCATGGAATTTTCGTTACAGTGTTTTAACGAACTACAAATTAGAGCTTTCCTCAAATTTAATACTAGGTTTATATGAGCATGCTTTATTGTGTGATGCGTTTTTACTGTCGTCGCTCATCCATTGCATGTTTACCGAATACATATGGCGGGGGCATCATCAGTAAGCCGTGTCAATTTTATACAAGTGCCATTGGTTCGAATCCTAAAACATAAGGCACTAAAACTATTACATAGGGGTAATTTATGTATTTCAAGCATAAACAAGTGTTTTAAAAACCCGACTTGAAAAGCAATGTTAACTGTTGAAAATGAAATACATGTTAAATAATGTATTTCTATATAGAAATACATAAGTTTAAATAAAGATGTTTATTATTCTTAGTTTATGTCAGTCTTTTTTAGTCCAACTGTTTGATTGCAATAGTGGTAAAGATATTTTTTACTTGTCGTAATTCGAATTAAAGTTATTTCCCTTTACCACCACGTTGGAGCTCAAATTCCGCCAACAAATCAACCAAATACAGCTTATCAACAGCTATTAACTTAAAAAAAAGTTGCAATTTAAATTTCTTTTAGCCTTATAAAAAGAAGATGTGGTATGAATGCCAATGAGACAACTCTCAACAATAGACCAAATGACACAGAAATTAACAACTACAGGTCACCGTACGGCCTTCAACAATGAGCAAAGCCCATACCGCATAGTCAGCTATAAAAAGCCCCGAAATGACAAATGTAAAACAATTCAAACGAGAAAACAAACGGCCTAATTTATGTACAAAATAGTGAACGAAAAACAAATATGAAACACAGCAACAAACGACAACCACTGAATTATAGGTTCCTGACTTGGGACAGGCTCATACAGAATGTGGCGGGGTTAAATTAGTTTGAAGGCGCCAACCTCCCCCTAACCTGGAACAGTGGTGTAACAGTACAACATAAGAACAAACTATAAAAATCAGTTGAAAAAAGCTGAACTCATCAGATGGATACAAATAGAAATACATCCAACAAAAACATAAAGTGGACGTGGACGGGTACTTGTACATCCCAACAACAAAAAGACACACAGATCTGAGAGTACTCGTAGTTACTGACAGCTAGTTCAAAGCCAATAACAACTGATAAAAAAATCATGCATCTAAGACTAAATTATCAATCGGTACACATCCAACATCCAATGGATTTAGTTAAAGACGTCATAAACAGTCAGAGAAAAAACATGACCTTGTGCAATGACAAATATAGATATCGACAGATTGTAGAGCCATGAATGTGCATATAACAATAATATTTAGTTTGATTTTAATTTACTGATCACAAAACCAATACCACTAAAAACAATATTCAAAGATTTAATTACAGTGTTGAATTGGCAACCTTTAGTTTATTTAAAGGATCGATAAGTTTACCGGGATCGTTGCATAATTCATCACTACGATCTAAGGGAAATAACTCCATTCATATTATGTCAATTTAAAACTGTCTTTATAAGAAAATGACTGATATGATCTTCTTAAATTGTGTGTGTTATTTCAGAAAGGGTTCTCATTGTATGCAACGGACACATCCTAGTGCTAAAAATTTCAATGCTGGATCGGTAAAAAAGCTAGGTCAGACATTCAACGTTGATAAACAGTGTGAATTTATAATCGGAAAAGGTTCTTATGCATGCAGAGTAAGTAATAGATATTAACTAATACAAGTTTGTTATCCGAGGTAAAAAAAAACGACGGTACCCAGAAGCAACATGCATGATGTGAATTTCTAACATTCAAATTAAAGTATTTTCACAAACGACAGAGTTTTATAGATAATGTGTATTGCAGCAAAAATCAAAATCATGGACCTATACTTGTCCATCTCTTCCACACAAATGTAAAAGGATTAGGAATAACATCGATAGTTTGCAATTGAAATAAAAATGTTATGTACGAACTTTGTTAACTGTTCTTTGCACAAAATGATAAGAGAAGGTAAGACTGTTTGGTCGTGTTCCTAATCAAGTAACCATGCTTTCACGTCTAACGTTCTAGAAAATTGACTCTTATAGACATCTTACAGTCTTTTATAGGCAACAGCGAGAATGTGTGCACTGGACTGTGGTGTAAATCAGCTGACATGTCCTCTACACGATGTATATTAGGCTTACCTGCAGAGGGGACAACGTGTGGACCTAACAAAGTATGTCATTCCTACCAAAGTAATGTTTGCAAAATATGTCTTTTTTAGAACAGATAATCAAGTCGAAATGCTACCAAACTATCTATAAAGAAGGAGGAGACGTCGAACAAAACGCACTATAAGGGAAATCAAAAATTAGTATTCAGGGGAAAACACAAATCGTATACTTCTAAACAGTGAAAGATGTAAGGGAACAAATAATACTTATAACAAACGCTTCTGTCAATACTAATGCACAATGCACTATGGGAAATTGAAATATATTTGAGTATCGAGATTGGAGGGCAAGACAAAGTGGATTGATTAGTTATCATTCGCTCGATTGTCAAAATATTTTTCCAAGAATACAAAAATCAAACAATTAAAACATGAAACAAACCAAAGTTGAAACAAAAATCAAATACCAAAAAGAAACTTCAGGAAGCACAAGTTATTTGAAATATCGATTTGGATTGTAGATATATATTATTTTGCTAACTTCTACGTCATTTGATCTCTGGTGGAGAATTGTCACATTGGCAATCATACCACATCTTATTTTTATATTAAGGAATGCTTATAAATATATCTAGATATAAGAAGGTGTGGTATGAGTGTCAATCAGACAACTCTCCATCCAAGTCACAAATTGTAAAATTAAACCATTCTAGGTCAAAGTACGACCTTCAACACGGAGCCTTGGCTCACACCGAACAGCAAGCTATAAAGGGCCCCAAAAATGACTTGTGTAAAATCATTCAAACAGGGAAACCAACGGTTTAATCCATATAAAAAACGAGAAACGAGAAACACTTATGAACCACATAAACAAACGACAACCACTGAAAATCTGTATAGAAATGGATAGATAATAATGAGAAAGTAGTTTGTATTGTAAGAACTGGTTTGAGCTGGGGTTCTTGTTATTCAATCTTTTTTTGTGTAATATTTTGTGGACTTCTGTTTTTCCCTTGGTATCTTCTCTGTTTTTTTGTTTTTTTGTTTTTTTGTTTTTTTTTGTAGTTCCCAACCGGCCATCGCTCTTTTCCTCGATAATGAGATTACCGAATGAGACTTACTTCCGACTAGACTGGTGCCACTATTGGAGCGGGATCTGCGCACTCTTCCGGAGCACCAGAGATAACTTCCGGTTTTTTATTGGGTTCGTGCTTCTGTGAACTGTTTTGCAGACTGTTGGGTTTTTTTTAAGGTTTTATTATCCATGGTTTTGTCTTGAAAATATTTGTTACTGTCGTGGGATCTTTTGCTTTTTATCATGTACACTTTCCAAATACAGTAGAAAGTTGAAGAGCATTGAGGACCCAAAATTCCGAAAGGTTTTTTCCAAATGCAGCTAAGGTAATCTATTCCAGGGGTAGAAAATACCTTGTAATTAGGAAAATTCAAAGAATTGGTCTGATATGCTACCGTTTTCAAAATGATCTAAAGTTGAGTTCTGAGGTTTCAATGCAGTGTATAATAACAACTTTGATGATAAATTGTCGATTGCTTTACGTCGAATATATTAAACATAGTTTTAGAGTATTTTTGTGACTTGTAGTGGTGTATTGGAAGCAGCTGTGTATTTGATTCCAGAGCTCCGAGTCGAGGAACAGGTATGAGAACAAATGTAATTTTAACAAAAAGTTTTATGTCATTACATCCAAGTCTATCAAATCCATCAAAAGTAATATTTGCTAATTCATTAGATAAACAAATTAAATAGTCTTCACTAGGACTTCAAAAAACAAATATTTACGGGTTTTCTGATATACCCAAATACAATTAATTTTAAGGATTAGATGAATATGACAAAAACATAAATTTGATAAAACCTATGCTACGTTTATAAGACATATTAATTCAATTCATATGGTTGTTCTCCTGGCTGAATCATTCAATTTATATTTGTGAATATTGTACATACTATATTTTTCTTTTTATCTATATCTGTGCTATTTATTTCATGTAACTTGTTTTGTTTTGTCAAAAGTGTAACAAAATATAGATACATAATGCTACAAAAAAATAATAATTCTACGGTTTGTCTAGTATTTCATCCCATTGGGAAAATTAAAGATTTCTATAAATTGTCATGAGATAAACAAAAAAGGCAATACAATGTTAGTCTTTGCATTCACTATACACACATCTGTTACAAAGAATAAAAGTATAAAACAAAGTTTAAAAATAAATTGTGCATATAATAGGATAAGAATGTTACAATTGCTATACAACATCATTTAGTTATTATTATAGAAAATCTGATAGGCAAAGACTAACCAAGAAGACCTACCAGTGAATTTATTACATTTATAGATTTCAGTATATTTTTAAACTAGTCCGTATTTTTTGTTGTTGTACTAAACATACTTTAATTACATTTACACCGTTACAGTAAAATTTATCCAAAAAGAGTTTTCGTTAGTCGTCTAGTCATTTTTTGTACATAAATTAGGACGTTAGTTTTCTCGTTTGAATTGTTTTACATTGTCATTTCGGGGCCTTTTATAGCTGACTGTGCGGTATTGGCTTTGCTCATTGTTGAAGGCCGTACGGTGACCTATAGTTGTTAATTTCTGTGTCATTTGGTCTCTTGAGGAGAGTTGTCTCATTGGCAATCATACCACATCTTCTTTTTTATAGTAATCTACAACTTAATAGAAAATTAAAATGTTCGCCCCATTCTTTACACTGACATAAATTACAATTATATTTTCACTGCTGAACCCCACCAGACCATTATATATTTTGTAGGCTGTTCATGAAATGAAAATGTCATAATCATAATGATATTGTGTATTTACATTTTTGCAAAAACTGGTCCAACCCCGTCTTGTTTTGTGCATGTACAAATTCAGGCTCTGACTTCTGTTGTCTATATGCTTATAAAAAAATGTGATATAATTGCAATTGAGACAACTGTCTACCAAAGACCAAAAGACCAAAAGGCGAGGATGTAAACAAGTGTAGGTCACTGTACGGCCTTCAACACTGAGCAAAACTAATACCGTAAAGTTAAAAAAACAACTAGAAAAAAACGGATGTTCATCTTTTATTGATAAAATAAACGAGATGTGCCTTATTGTACATTATTTAATCAATAAAAGAATGTGAAATTCATTTTCCAAATGAATGAAGTACTAGACAAAACTAGAAAAAAGGCCCCGGCATAACAAAATGTGAAACAATTTAAGAGAAAACACAAGCGGCCACATTTATGCTAAAAACTGAAGAGAAAAACTTAGATATGTTTTTCCAATTTTCTTTTCTTTTTTTAAAAAATTGTGTTGGATTTTTGAAGACCGTGTGCAAATGCCTCATTTTACTAATACCTTTAAGGTAGATCTCCCCAACTCTACATACTCTGTATAATTGTAATTGTTATATTATGTCCTATTTGTCTCTTTGAGCAAATAAAATCGTTATAAACTAAAACCAACGATAAGCCCTGAAAAAAAGCTCTTAACTCAGAACAGGCCCATGTCTTATCTAACTGTTTGTGGTTGGAGTGGTATGTTGTACTTTCCAAAGTTTTTGATAGCTCCTGTTTATTTTTATAATTTATTGAAATATACCTTTTTGAATTTTACATTGCTATATATTCTCGATTAAATAATGGGTAATCGATTTATTTATCGATAAAAAAAAGTACATCCATTTTTGAATTTTTGGATGTATCACGGTTAATTCATCAACATGAGCAAAATTAGAATGTTGTAGAAACTTTCTATTACATCGATTTGACTTGCTTGTGTTAATCATCATACTTGTTTTAATAGCTGACTGTGCATTCGGTGATAGTCCAGGCCTTGTATTAAGAGGGAAAACGTGTACCAATTTACTGAGAGCAGAGCCTTTCCAATGTTATAGCAATTCGATCAAGAAAAACTGCTGTGAAAGCTGTGAGAAAGTTAAAACTGGAATTCCTAGTAAGTATAATACTTAGTTTTTATATATAGCAGATAGTATAAGTGTGCAGGCGATGCATACATAGCAGTATGTGGAAGAAGAAGAAGAAGCAGACGAATTGGCATGATCTGATATTTGCATGCTTACAATAGACAAGGGAAGTCATTGGACTGATCTTCCGATACAAATATAAGCTTTAATTTATTAAAAGTATCACATAAACCTTTCAGGAGTCGGACATTTTCTTAATCAGTGTTAATATGTACGGACTATACTCAATCGGCAAGCCTCGGGTGACTCCGCTTCTCTCCATCTATCGATGTACGGAATAGGCCGAGTTGTGACGAATGGGGCTATACTAGACTAAGTATTTAAAAATTGAGTAAAACACAAACATACAGGATCAAGTCAGACATTTAATACTGAGTACGAAATTTAGGACTAAATTGATTAAAATCCCAGTATAAAAGAATGCAATTAAGGATCAATGGTCTAGATAATGATTCATTGTGAATTCTGAAAAATAAAGTGAAAAAGTTCGGGTCACTTTATTTATAGTGAGCCATTCTGGATTCATTCAGAAATAAAATTTCATAATCGAAAATGACGTTGCACACTTTTTTTGTCTATATTAATCACGTGACGCAGTTCCATGCAGCGTTCTTGAAATTGACATTCCACAGACAGTTTCACACTTGTCAACGACGTTAAAAATTCTGAGAAGCACAGTTTTAGAGACATTGCAAATGATGTTTCACACGGAGTTTCACAGTCCTTTTTAATGACGTTACACAGTCTATGCTTCTTTGTAAATGACGTTGCCGATGGTCCCTCCTTTGCACGAGTTTTGAAAATAAGATCTCCAATAATTGAGGAATCATGTCACCTTTGCTACTTGTCAGGATTCTTTAACATTAATATGAAGCTCCTCTCATATCCCACTTCCCTACTATTTTGTTGTCTGAATGCAGGTTTCCCCCATCCGATAATGAGCTTATAGAACACATAGCTTTTATGGGTCAGAACTACACAAAATTTCGAATGGTGCAACAAAAGTGGAGTATACCATTTGACATCTTCGTTAGTCAAGGATTACGATACAGTCCCTTCCTCTAATCCAATTTAGAGGAGGGGACTGGGTCGTAACCCTTGCCTAACGAAGATAACCATTTGCCCAATCTAACTGTTTAGGGAACGATTAACTATAAGCAAGTCACAAAACTTTTAACTACTAACTCCATGGGTTGTATGTTAGTTGCAGTCTTAAATTCGCTAGCAATGAGATTTGCAATTTCATCATGTGTTAACCTCTCAGTTGAAGTTCCGTTGATTTCAAAAATTTCATGTCCACACTTTAACGTTCCAGAGGCAAATGCCGAACCACCAGGCTGTAAAAAAAATATAACCGTCATTAAAATTCAGATGATAAATAGCTACATATTTTCCCGTGGCAAATATTACATGAAAATTCAGGGCGATCATATATATATATATCATATTATACGAATACATCCTTCTATAACTAGCCTGACCGCGACTCGCTGAATCTTCTCGATCTTCAATTAAGTACTTCACAGTTTAACACTCCGCATGAAGACATTTTACCACCTGGACTCATTATTCTAAGGGCTTCGGTTGCCAACTGGTCGATGTAGTCTTTTACTAGCCTGCCAATACTGAGGTTGTGATTTCGAGCGCCCGTAAGTCGAAGGACCAATTTTAACCGACTAGGAATGTCAGTTTTCCTACCGAAGGTCAGTGATTCCCTCCAGACACTCTAGCTTCTTCAACCATTAAAAAATGTCCACTGTAAAATAGCCAGTGTGTTGAAAGTGGCGTTAACACCAAAAACAAACCAACCAATCAATTGCATTATTCTTTCATCGAAGCTAAATGTCTGGACATCATGTCTTCTTAAGAATATATATATATACTGTTATAAGATAATTAACTTCTATACGATAGTTTTTGAAGGCAGTTTATGTGAAATGAACGCAATTTGAATTTAGTTTAGCTATGAAAACTCATACAATTGAGAACTGAAATGGGGAATACGTCAAAGAGACAACAACCCGACCAAAGAGCACATAACAGCCGAAGGCCACCAATGAACCGTTGATCGGTTGATCTTAATGACCAAAATCAAAATTTGTTGAACACGAATGCCAAATCTACTGTGTTGCAACGACAAACGCAAACGCAAACAAAACTCTACTGTAAACAATAACCAAACATACATATCCTATGTATAGAATCTACAATACTGATAGCCGGTTACTAGGTTTATAACATAGTCGGAGCAAATACGCAATTATGGGTAGAAAGCCCCAGACCCCCTTTAATGGAGCTTCATATGATGGTCAATGCATAGACTTTTCGTTATCTTAGTTTTGGACCCTCATTTTTTCAAAATCCTTGATTCGTATCTCCAGAGTTCGCGAGGTTTTCCCTTTGTTTTTTTTTAATCCTGCATCCGCATCCGTATCTGCATCCGCATATGGTTCGCGAGGTAGAACAAAGAGGTCAAACGTCTTATAAGTATAATACTAAGGTACCTGAATATGAACTACAATAGGCGTTTTTTGTTGGGTATCTGCCCCACCTTGTACAGCCACACCAAAAGTAGGTTTCGTTCTGTAGATTGTTACTATTTCAACATGGACATCCAAATACTTCTTTTTGAGATCTTTAAGCTTTATCTCCAACTAAAATAAAAGATAAACTATTATGAGACTCATATATATATAGTCGGATACATAATAAAAGTGTAACATTACAAATATATAAGGAATGCAAATCGATTTAGTAATAAATTTCCAGTTATGGTGGAATTCTTTCAAGACAAAAAAGTCACCAAAGATACCAGGTTTATACTTACTATGGATGAGCGTGGTTTTAGCGACCTTGACTGCTCATAAGGGTCTTTAAAATTATTTACGGTCGGTCGTCTTACTACGGTATGGTAGTTGCTCATTTTAGAGGCCATACGGTGATCGACTTATCGTTGTTTGGTATCTGGTGGAGAGGTAACTCATTGGCAATCATAGAACATCTTAATATTTTTATATCCTAACTTGGCACGACAGGCGCGCGTTTCGTCTACATACGACTTGTAAATGGCGCTCGACTGAAAACAGTTCGAAGGCCAAATCAGATACAAAGACTAAGTCCATTAAAACCTGTATTGACGTTACGCACGGTGTTTGGTTTAGTAATGGTAGCATTAATCGACGTCTTTTTGTATTATTTCAACCTACTTCTGTACAAAACGTCAAAGCTTTGCACCTTTTAAAAAAAAAACAGCCGGCATTTTGATGTTTAACTATTTATTTAAAAAAAACATAGACTGTTAACATGACTAATTGTGTGAATTACGCCGAGTACGTGTTGAAAATAACTCAACATTTTCTACAGTTTATTTATAAAAAATGAACATACACATACAATGTACATGTATCAATGATATATCACATAAACAAATAATTACTGAATACATTGGCATCAACAATTCATAAAACAAATGATGCACACTTACCTCTTTCTTAGAATTCATAATAGCTAAGTCCACCACTGAGTATATTTGTGGTCTGGGTATCTTTATAGGAGTGAGATCTAGACAGCTATCCATTTTTCACGTTTGTTCCTTTTTTGCAATTATAGTTAATTTTCCCCTAAACCTTTCAAATGCTATATGAAACATTAATTGTCCGTTTGGTTTGCTCTCCGTTAACACAAGATGATATCCATTTTTCACGTTTGTTCCTATTTTGCCATTCTTATCATTTTACTAAACCTTTCAAATGATATATGAAACATTGACTTGTTCGTTTGGTTAGTTCTCCGTTAACACGAGATGATATCCATTTTTCACGATTGTTCCTATTTTGCAATTGTAAATTTTTGCCTAATCCTTTCAAATACTATATGAAACATTGATTTGTTCGTATGGTTTGTTCTCCGTTAACACAAGATGATACAACGCTTTTTATTCATACTTCATCTGTCATCGGATACGTTTTGTAAATCGTTGCCATGGAAATGGAATTATACCGATATTGATCATTAATATTTCCAATATAGGTAAAACTAGATAATTATAATAATTGTATATTTGATACTAATTGCAGGTAGAAATCAATAACAAATCTCGAAGTTTGAATCTCTAATTATTATTGTATATAAATTCTTATGTAGAAATCCCTTGAGGCCTTCAAGTTGAGGGTAATGTTCATTTAGGTGGTACACTTTGTCTTGCACTGCGGTAAAACATTAACAAAAAGGTTTGAAGGTACAGAAGAGACCAACAGAGACAACATTGCAATCCAAAATGAAAGGAATGATGAAACAAACTACTGAATAAATGTATAATTGAAAATTGTCTGAATAGAACATCTTAAGGATCCCAAAGTAATGGACAGTTTATGACCAAGTACGCGTCGTACAAATGTCTTGCTCAAACATCTCAATAAATTCAATATAGAAGCATTGAGTCCATAAACATTGATTAGACAGCAATCCATCAAAGAAAATCAAATACTTGTAATGTATAATTTATTACCAAGTACGCTTCGTATAAAAGTCTTGCTCGAGCAAACTAATATCAAGTACGTTAACATTTATTGGGCAGCAATCCATCAAATACTATCAAAAATTAAAATTTTCATAACAGTTTCTTATCAGATAGTAATTCAAATAACGCCATTTTGATAAAGTAGCATCAACAATTTTGTGTTTATTCTGTTTTTAATACCTTAATATAACTGTGTTTTTGTTGTTTTGTTTGTGTGGGTTTTTTTTTTTGGGGGGGGGGGGTGCAAGTTACCTTGTAATTAACAAATGTGGTTTGTCTTTGTTTGTTTGTTTGTTGTTGTTTGTTGTTGTTTGTTTTGTTTTGTTTTGTTTTGTTGTTTGTTTGTTTGGTTTTTGTTTTTGTTTGTTTTTGTTTTTTTTTGTTTGGGGGGTGGGGTTATGTGTTAATGTTCAATTGGTCTTTTTCAATTGGAGAGTGATAAAAATAATGAATGCACGTTAAAACTTATAAAAATTGCTCAGAGTTTACACGTATATGTAATTTTTCCAATATAAATTATTAAGCAAATTGTTATATATATTAACTTATTTGATCCTTTCAGATTGCGATTACGGCGATAAGAGTACAGACTGCCAAAGAGCAAAATCACTTGGACAATGTTCTAGATTCAGGAGTGTATGCTGTCAGACTTGTAGAAATTCTTAATAAATTATTTTGTTTTATATTGGACATTTTTTCTGTTTATGTATATTGTAGCCTATAAGAATTACACACACACACACGATATAAAAATAAGAAGATGTGGTATTATTGCCATAGAGACAACTCTCCGCCAGAGACCAAATGACATAGAAGTTACATGTTACACAAGTTGTGTTTACCTTCTTGCAGTATAATCGAGATGCATGTGATAACTGTACGTAAACAGCGACTTCTATCGATCTTGCTGACATGGAGATAATTCACGAATTCAAAAATTGACTTGACTGAGATATAGTGATTGATGTTAACAGTGATCATTATGTTTGGAAGAAACTTTAACCCTGCATGTTCCAATATTTGAAAAAACGATTTGTTCTTTTAGTTTGTTTTCCAGTTAACCCCCCCCCCATTTTTATCACCGTTTTATATGTAAAAAAACCTAAGGAGTTACGGTATTATTGTCAATGAGACAACTATCCACCAGAGTTCAAATGATGTGGATGAAAACAACTATCCACCAGAGTTCAAATGATGTGGATGTAAACAACTATCCACCAGGGTTCAAATGATGTGGATGTAAACAACTATCCACCAGATTTCAAATGATGTGGATGTAAACAACTATCCACCAGGGTTCAAATGATGTGGATGTAAACAACTATCCACCAGAGTTCAAATGATGTGGATGTAAACAACTATCCACCAGGGTTCAAATGATGTGGATGTAAACAACTATCCACCAGGGTTCAAATGATGTGGATGAAAACAACTATCCACCAGGGTTCAAATGATGTGGATGTAAACAACTATCCACCAGAGTTCAAATGATGTGGATGTAAACAACTATCCACCAGAGTTCAAATGATGTGGATGTAAACAACTATCCACCAGGGTTCAAATGATGTGGATGTAAACAACTATCCACCAGCACCAGAGTTCAAATGATGTGGATGTAAACAACTATCCACCAGAGTTCAAATGATGTGGATGTAAACAACTATCCACCAGGGTTCAAATGATGTGGATGTAAACAACTATCCACCAGAGTTCAAATGATGTGGATGTAAACAACTATCCACCAGAGTTCAAATGATGTGGATGTAAACAACTATCCACCAGGGTTCAAATGATGTGGATGTAAACAACTATCCACCAGAGTTCAAATGATGTGGATGTAAACAACTATTCACCAGGGTTCAAATGATGTGGATGTAAACAACTATCCACCAGAGTTCAAAAGATGTGGATGTAAACAACTATCCACCAGGGTTGAAATGATGTGGATGTAAACAACTATCCACCTGAGTTCAAATGATGTGGATGTAAACAATTGGCCTTCGACAAAAAAATGAGAAAAATCAATACAATAGTTTAATTTACAAAACAATAATACGAAAAGAAATATGACAGACATGCGCAAACCAACGACATGCACTGTACTGCAGGCTCATGCCTTAATGGGACAAGAACCTTATGAATACAGTGGAGTTAACATTAAAATAGGAAGATGTAATATGATTGTACTACACATATATACATTGTACATATCACATATCGACTGTGTTACTGTTTAAAAAGCAGGTGTATCCCTATAATATAAGGCTTCGAAGGTTCATCATGTTCATATCAATGTTGAACCTTTATAAGAATATAATGTTATACTAGTTAGTAAAATTAAAACTGCTGAAAACATTGTCAAATTGCCATTCAAAGTTCCCACAAAAGTTCGTTGGGAACTTGCTACGAGAAACACAAACACTTTTTAAAACAATTTTTAAGTGATGATATAGACTTTTGATTAAGTTGTGGCCTTATTTCTAATCACCACGTGGTAGCTCAGCATCCAACATGGCGCCCAAAGTAATAAAAGACATTTGAAACAACTGTAGCAAGGATGTTGTGTCAAATGACAGAGCTCTGTCGTGTTCAATATGTGACAAATGGTTTCACATTAAGTGTGAAAGATTTCCAGTAGCAGATTATGACTTTTTACAAAAATCTGACGACAGCATTCAGTGGGTATGCAAGGGTTGTAAAGGGGCATCCCAAAAAAAATTGTAAAATGTTAACATTAATGCACGCAAGGCAAGATAAGATAGAAACAGAAGTTGTTGGTCTCACTAAGAGTCTCAAACATTGCAATGAAGGAATCAATTCTGTGGATAAAAATATATCCGAGCTAAATGAAAATTTACCTATCATGATAGTATCGCAACAAATAAATCAGATTATTGATGATAAGTCAGAAGAAGAGAAAAGAGAAGCCAATATAATTATATTTGGTATACCTGAAAGTGAGAAGGGGGATTCGAGATTTAAAGATACTGAATTTATTCAGGGGCTTTGTAGAGATTCATTACTACAATACCCTCCCTTTTCACGAATGTGACTTACCGAGTTAGACTATTTACCGGATTTGTAATAACATAAGCAACACGACGGGTGCCAGATGTGGAGCAGGATATGCCTACCCTACCGGAGCACATGAGATCACCCCCAGTTTTTGGTGGGGTTCGTGTTGCTTAGTCTTTGGTTTTCTATGTTGTGTCATCTGTACTATTATTTGTCTGTTTGTCTTTTTATTTTTGGCCATGGCGTTGTCAGTTTGTTTTCGATCTATGAGTTTGACTGTCCCTCTGGTATCTTTCGTCCCTCTTTCATTAGGGATTGATAACATTGCTATTGATGAGATTACACGGTTGGGTGCAAAGCCAAAGAAAGGCTCTAAGAAATACAGACTTACTAGATTAATTGTGAAAGATAATACATCTCGGAATAACCTCTTCCGCAACGCTTATAAGTTGAAAGACACCAAGATAGGTGTACACAAGAAAATAGGTATAGGCAGAGACCTCACAAAAAAATAGAGAGAAAGCAATAATGCTTTACGTATTGAATTGGGTCAGATGAAAAAGGATTCCCCCCATAGGAGTTGGGTCATTCGTCGAGAGAAGATAGTTGAATTGCCGAAATCTGGGATTCCTCCATAGGCCACAGATAAGTAAAGATAACAATCATTCAGATACTTCAAATGTAAATACGTTAACAGTTAATGTTGATAATTTTGTTCCAGTTAATAGTTATGTTTCAGTTACAGTTAATGATAATAGAAATGAGTTGAATATTTCGCAAGATGTTTCTGATCACCAGTCAATTAGTGACGATAAGAAATTTACTTCGGAGGATAAACGGAAATCTTTGAGAGTTTTGTTTTCTAATGCATGTAGACACCCTGTCAAATAAGCGTTCAGAGTTTGAGTCATACTTGTCAATTGAGAAGCCACATATTATAGGTTTATGTGAAATATATCATAAACACAGATATGGATAAATCTATAGCATCCATGCTAAATCTACCTGATTATGAAAAGTATATATCTGACAAGATGGGTGATAGAGGTGTAGTTATTTATATCCATAAGTCTTTGATAGCTTTAAAGTGGATATTTTATCTGAATCTGGTTTTAATGAATCAGTGTGGTGTGAAGTTAAGTTAGAAGGAACTGATAAACTTTTATTAGGATGTATTTATAGGAGTCCGTCGTCTGTACCATCAAATAATAAGAAATTGAACGATTTAATATGTCAAGTATAGCCATTATTTAATTATGGGAGACTTTAATTTTCCTGAGATCAAGTGGGTTGATATTGAAGTATCAAGTGGTATTAACACAGATCCTTTTAAATTTTATGAGTGTATGCAGAACAATTTTCTCTTTCAACATTAATGTACACCAACCCGTTTTCGTACTGGTCAAAATGCTACTTTACTTGACCTGGTTTTTACAAATGAAGAAAATATGATAGCCAAAGACTCAATACAAACTCATTCAGCAGTGGGGAAGAATGACCATTGCATGATAAATTTTTGATTTTTGTTGTTATTTGAATAATGAGAAAACTTCTGGCGATCGTTTTTCATATTTTAGAGGAAATTATGAGCTTTTTAATGAGGGTTTAAACAACATTCAATTTGACTGGGATGGTTTGCTAAGTAATAAAAACGTTGATGAAATGTGGAAATGTTTCTCTTCTGTTATGTCAGAAAATATTGACAGATTTATTCCTAAGAAAAAGACTTACCGTAAATTTATAAGCCCACCGTTGTGGATGGATAGAGCTACTAAGTCTGCAATTGTCAAGAAACGTAAATCATGGAAAAAATATAAATATTCAAGATATAACTTGTCATATGCAAAATATGTGAAGGATCGTAACGAATGTACAAATGCTGTTAGAAATGCTAAACTTAGTTTTGAGCAAAAAGTGGCCTTAGAATCAAAGATTAATGTTAAGTCGTTTTGGAATTAAGTTAACAGTAAACTCAAGACTAGATCAGGAATAGGCAATCTTGAGAAACCGGATGGTACTTTAGCGTCCAGTACTGCTGATAAAGTGGAAGTTTGTCATTTTGAACAATAAAATATGTTTAAACTAAAGTGGAAGTTTTAAATCAGATTTTTACTAGTGTGTTTACTCAATACAGATGACTTGAAAGATTATGATACTAATTCAGAGTCAAACAATGTTTTAGATGATATTAATATTTGTCAGGAAGATGTGCTAAAGTAACTTAATAAATTAAAGACAGATAAATCTGCAGGACCTGATGGTCTACATCCGAAAGTTTTATATGAAGTAAGACATGCAATTTGTTATCCCTTGTTTAAAAGTTTTGATAAGTCTAGATCTATCAAAGAGGGTAAAGTTCCAGATGATTGGAAAAACGCCATAGTGTCACCAATATTTAAGAAAGGGAAGAAGCTGAGCCCTGGTAATTACAGACCTGTTTGTTTAACATCCGTAGTATGTAAGATCTGTGAATCCATTATTAGAGACAATATTATGAAGTATATTCTCATGAACAATCTTTTTACAAGTAGTCAATATGGCTTCCGACCAGGTAGGTCATGTGTTACTCAACTCCTGGAGGTTTTGGATGAGTGGTCAGAATTAATTGATAATGGTTTTCCACTGGACTCAATTTACCTTGATTTTTCCAAGGCATTTGATACCGTGCCTCAT